AATTTAAGTGCATAACCTGCAAAATGAGTGTGACGTTTCCCAGGATTCAGCTCCAATGTAGGGCTCCCCATGGCCATCCCTAAGATTTTTTCTATGTACCTTTCAAGATAGCAATTCTCTGCTGTTTTTTCATTTGTTTTTAGTTGTGGTGTTGTTTTGTTTGGGTTATTTGATCTGGGGGGAGGTGTGAGCTCTGTCTTCCTCAGCATCTACATTTCATTTTCCCATACAAGCCTTTCATTTAGTTTTTATAATCCAGTGTCCTAGGAATTCTGGAAGGATAACTTTTCTTGACTGGCTCTTGTTCAAATCAACTGACTTCTGACACCAATTTGTGATATCTTTTCTGCACAAGGTCAGACTTACAGAAAAACTGGAAGGATAAACAATGAAAACCTGTGCAGCATGTGCTATTATATTTCCAGAAGTAAATATTGATTACTGTTGACATTACTTCTCTTGTAGGCTATATCCAGATCTTTTCTTCAACTTAACAGGAATTAAAACAGTGTTGACCCAAAGGGCAGAGTGTCATTCAAAAGAAGGATCACATACAGCTCTATAGAACAGATGGTTTGTATGCTCTAGAAAATGTATACAGAAAGTAATAGAAAATCACACTATTTAATACCTATGTTGAGGATCAATGCATAAAGAGAAGAACAAAGAGTTGTGTCCCATCCTTTTCATCTTTGTTTTAAAATTTTCATTCTTTAAGATGACATGTACAAAAATCCCACCAATTTCTGAAATAAGAAAGGAGACATACACAGCATAAAAGTTTTGCCTGTTTTGATATTCTCAGGAATACTAAATCTTGTTTTTACTTCTGTTGCTATTAATTTTAGACTTAGTCAAGATATGGCTATAGTGCAGCATCAAGTAGAGATACTGGAGCTCTCTTTGAACTGGCTAGGGCAGGTACCAGTATCAGTGTAGTCATGGCAGCACAGAGCTTCCAGTGGCCTAATTACTCTGCCAAGAAATAAATGGATGCCTGGAAATCCCTGGGGAAGGAGGTGGTTGAATTGTTAACAAAAAGAGTTTTCCCCTGAGGCATGTTAGTTAAATAGGTGTTAACAAGAGCCAAAAATCCCCAAGCTCTAGCCTTAGAATAAAAATGCCTTTGTCCTTTGGTAGATATGATGTCCCAGGCCTTCCAGTCTTCCTGCTGTCTATTGAGACTTAAGAGAGAGGGGATTTCAGTATCTGACAGAACACCCAAAATAAAGCAAAACAGCTTCCTCTGCCTCCCCGCCCGCCCCCCAACTTAAATCTATACATCAGATCACCTTAAAACTATAAAAACAAAAGTATTTCATGTCTGGAAATACACAAAAGTCTCCTGGTGGTGATGGCAGGGTGGGTCAATCCCCTGAGCTCAGCACATTCTAAGCTCATCTTGAAATGTCTGAAAATATTGAGACTAAGGAGAAAAAATAAATGAGAGTAAGAGTTGGGGGAGGGAATTTGCATAATTTCTTCTTCCTCGCACTAATTTTTCCTCGCACACAAGAGAGTATTGTGATTTCTGTTGGTTTTTTTTGTTACATGAAGACGTACATACCGTATGCCCGTATATAAGACATATATACTGTGGGCACATGGCTGCAACATCACTACAGTGGCTCAAATGGTCAATTCAAACATATGTTTCAACAGTGTATGCCCCTAGGCACGCTCGGATCACATACGAGTGGCACCCACTGCATGGACGTGTGTAGAGGAAGGTAAAGGAGCAGTTCTACCAATATATTCACTTCCAATTCCTGCATAGCTCAAAATGGAGCCCAAGACTAGAATTGCACACACCATTTTATTTTGCAAGTCATACCTATTTATTTAGATTTCTAAGCTAAATTACATGACCAAAATTCATATTATTTGGCTGAAATTCCCTTTGAGATCAATATGAGTTTAAGGACTAGATTAAGGACTGAGGCAAAGCCATTCCAGAAAATGTATTAGTTTATCCAGGCGGATACCTTGTGAGTATTGTCTAATTAAAATCTGCAGGCTTATGCCCAGTCTGACAAAATGCTATTTGCAACAGCCATGTGTGAGATCATTGTGTTGAGGAGATAGAACGCCAGCAAATTGTGAGTCTGCTGTTAGTAAGTGGATGGTACGTAGGAGCTGAAAGTTTCGATTTTATCACATTAACTTAAATGTGAAAAAAAAAACAAAAACAACAGGACACTACAAAAATCCAAGCTGTTTTTGATTTCAAACTGTTCATATGCCACAGAGCTCAGACATACACATCCCATTTAGTAACTGATTTCACTTTTCTATGCAGGCAAAGAAGCAATAGAGGTGAAAATCCCACAGAGTCACCAAGATGTGATGTCCAATGATGAGCAGTAATTACTGCGGCAACACTTCAGCCAGCATGAGCGTCAGTGAAATGTCTGCCTTCCCTCTGACTTTGGAGCAAAAAACTGGTTTCGCCTTTGTGGGGATTTTGTGTGTTTTCTTAGGACTTCTAATTATCAGATGCTTCAAAATCTTGCTAGACCCCTACAGTAGTATGCCTTCTTCAACATGGGAAGATGAAGTCGAGGGGTTGGATAAAGGGACCTTTGAATATGCTCTTGCATGAAAAGTCACATGATATCCTGCCTTAAATTTGATGTTGATTTCATTTTGGAAACCAACTGTTGGTACATTTGTTACATATGCATACGTACATTTTGGAGATGTGTTGGTATCTGTGGCATTCATTTTGTTAAATAAATGTTTATTGCAAACTCAGAAGTAGCCCATTTGTATGTGCTATATTGCTGAGATGAGAGGAGAATCAACTGCTAACTCAATTCTTGCCTCTCAAGAAGAGAATGTGCTGTACTAATTACTGTTTGTAAGGAACCTGTACTTTGCAACTCCTGAGTGAAACATGTAAGTGGTCTCCTGCAAACAATGCATACTTCTATTTCCTCCCACTCACCTGACAGTATGTCTTGATGGAACAGGTCTTCCTTCTATTCTACAGCAGTGGAAAGACAAATGGAACTAGTGGAAAGGAAACAAACATCATTAAAAATATTTTGTATTCTACACATGCAGTATTTCAAAGTACATTACCTACTCAAAAGTCCAGTAGGAATTAAGAACACCACAGTTCTACTCTCCCAATGTCAGGGAGTTAAAACCTTAAGGTGAAAGAGACCAAGTAAACATTATGCAACTAACCTGATAATCCTACTGAACTGGTCAAGGCGTGTCAATTTTTACTCTCCTTGGGTACAGAAGATCAGTCAGTTTAAACTGGAACTTCACCTGTTGTACTATTAGTTGCAATCTGTTCTGTCTGATTAATAGCTCCCAGTAGTAATTAGACCAACTTGTCATGGCAAACAGAGAGACACACTGCACATACTTGTGCCCAGGGTCCAAGAGCTACGTGCAAATCTTTGTACCCTCTGGCTCCTCTCCTCAGCTTTTTCTTTTCATTGTGTTCCTACATCTGTGCACAGCGTATAATCTTGAGTGTCAAATGGGAAAACTGGTCACAGGAAATCTTATCAAGACAGAAGAACTGACAGTGAAAGTGGAGACTAAAACCACAAGGTCACCCTCAAATACACAGCTGTTTAGCAAGTATGATAGTACTTGACAGAAATACAATTTCACTTTTAAGAAAGTTGTCAACAAAATTTTATGCACTGCCACCTTTGCTAAACAGCTCTCTTTGCAACAAGCAATAAAGACAGAAACCAGTTACAGAGATTGGTTTCTTTTGCACATAATACACATGCAAAATGTAGTTCCTTTTGCTGTGTATATTAGGCAGAGGCAGCCAGTGAAACAGTGAACCTCAAATGCCATTTGGAACATGAAATACCAGATTGCACAGGGAAGGACACAATCTCCTGTCTGAAGAAGAATAGGTACAGGCAACACCTATCAGCACTGGCTTATCTAAATTATAAATAATTGTATGAATGCAAGAGCTTTAAAACTGCTTCAGAGTCTGCCAAAGAAAAAAGTGCCAGACTCTCAGAGATTCAGTATATTGCATTTATCCTAGTTAATTTAACCATAAAACCAAAGGCAGATACTGATATGCTGTTTCACATGATCTGTTCTGCTAGATAGGATCATCCTGCAGAGACCTGACACTGTCATTCTTTTTACATACACCTAATCAGCAAAGCTGAGCCCTGTGCTGTCAGGTTAGCATGCTGAAGATACTTAAGTTATCTGGGATAAATATAGTTCAGTTATCTCTAAACTACATGGCAAGTACAGCAAACATACCTGAAGAACCCCACTACTTACTGACTTCTTCTGTTTTTGACCCTAATCTGTTGCTGAAAGCAATTACCAAATTTCCTTATGATTAAAAAGCTTTGCCATTTCTTTCTTGTCTTCCCTGTATCCCTGAAAAACATCAGTGTCAACCTTCCCAGAAGAAATGCACAAAACCTAATTTTTCAAAGGCTTTCCTTAAGTATACAGAGTAAAACTTTCAGCAGGGCTAGGAGTAATTAGCTCAAAACCACAAGTGGGACAAGGAAACCCACCAGCGTCTCTTAAAGAGCACAGGAGGGATCCCAGTGACTTCACGGAGCCTCTTCTGCATAAATGCACTCTGAGCATTTTATAAATTCTTGCTATCTGCACTACAACATATGCACAGCTGAAAAATAAGATTATGATCTGTGCTCAGCATCGGACATAGCGGGGAGGGAAATGGAGATAACAGAAGTATTTTTGGGCCCCCTTGGAAATTTTGCAATACCATAAAGCCAGTAATTGTAATGGATAGGTACATTTGCTGGTTAATAGTTAACAAGCTAGAATGCTTCTCTAAATCACCATCTAGAAATGTTTTGAAAGTAAGGGATTGGACAGTTTATTCAATATATTAAGCAGAAGAAAAATCTGACCAATAAGGCACAGTGTGAAACACTTAAAAGTGAGGGACATGCTATATGCATGAATAAAAGAAGCAGCTTGTCCTTACCAAAAAACACAAGGTTGAGTGGCAAGTTAAATTATCCTGAATAAGGTAAATCTGATAATTTTTGAATAATGATAGAATATTAAATGTAAAATTAATGGCAAGTAACAGTCGAGAGACTTCTGGAAATACACTGTGAAAAACATCAAGTATTATTTTCAAGAACAGCAGAAAGGTAAGAAGTTTTACTTTCCTAGCCAAACAGTAACATTATGGAAATAAGACAGTGATATTACAGTTATTTTATTTGGTAGCAAAAGTCTCATTGCCATCAAATAATTGTGATTTCACTCAGCCATGGGGACAGAAACAAACTTAATGTCACTGACCTTAGTGACAAAAGATTTGTTTTCACTCTTTCATGCCTGAAGATGAAACACATTCTTACAATTTTAAAAGGTTGAAGGAATACTGTGATGAGAAATGTGTAATTATGGTAATAATAACAATGCGGATCATCCAAAAGCAGAAGTGAAAGGAATTAAATAAATGTAACGTGTTGCTGTGAAACTTACAAAATGTTAAGCGGGAAAAGTAACAGAAATATGAGAGGGTTGTAAAGTGCTTGCATTTCAGGGAGGTTACAGCAGATTATCATTTATAGCTGATGGAAGAAGGGAGGAAATACGCCTTAGCTGTACCTCACACTGAAGTTGGAGGACATCTGATTATCTGTTCTTCAAATTATTGTTTTGATACACGATTTTAGACAAAAATACACATTGCCAAGGTCTAAATATCAACACAGTGTTTTATCTTGCAGTGCCAGAGCCAAATGCATTTCACAAAATCATAGAAAATTTTAAATTGGAAGCAATATCTTGAGGGTTCCTAGTCCAACCTCTTGCTGAAAGTACAAAATTCTAAAAGAATTATTCTAATGGGCTTGTTTACCCAGATTTTCAGTTCACATATAATTTTTATAGATATATTTTGTTTTTAGAGCTTTCTGCTATTATGCAAACTTGCAAATTTTCAATTTCTAAATAGGCTTTTAGTTAGTTTTAGTCAGAATAGGCCGAAACTGTTAGACCCAGACTCCTATTGAATTATACAGGTCAATACAATCACACTCTTGTGTCTCCTTTGAAAAAAATTTGAAAACATATACATTGCCATTGCTTTCTATATAATCTGAGTTTCTCGAAAACAACAGGTGATGCATGCCACTCCAGGGCCATGTAGGCCATCCCACATGCTGCAGTGATACTTAACCAATTAAAGGCCTTAAATATTAGCACCCCTTTTGTTCTTGGGGTTTTTGTTTATTTATTTGCTTGTTTTTGAGGGATCTGAATGGAAAAGTGGAGGTGGGAAGCAGATAGTGCAGGTATTATGTGTTACAGGCTGCCATTCAGAGGGACCTAGACAGGCTAGGCAAACGAGTCAACAGGAATCTCCTGACATTCACCAAGGACAAATGCAAGTCCTGCACCTGGGACAGCAATCTCCTGCGTTGTAGGGGATGGGACCTCACTGGCAGGTAGCAGCACCGCAGGCAGTGACTGATGAGCCTGCACAGTCAGCAACATGCCCTGAGAGCAATGAAAGCAGTGTCCTGGGCTGTTTTAACAGGACCATAGCTGGCAGACCAAGCGCAGTGATCATTCCCCTCTTTCACACACTCATCAATCTGCACCTGAAAGCCAGCTTCTAGGCTTGTTTACCTGTCCCCTGCAATTCCCCATGTAAGAGAGAACGTAGAAAACCTGCACGCATCACATGGGGAGCTTCTAGCAGAGTCAGGGGCAGGAACATAAAGAAACTGGGCTTGTTTAGCCAGAAGAAAATGTATTAATGTATTGCACAGCCCCAGTACCTATGGAGAGGTTACCGACAAGGCACACCAAGGCTCTTCCTGAAGTACACAGCAGGAGAGTGAGAGGTGATGGTCGTGAAATAATGCACAGAAGGTTCTACTGGGTGCACATGAAAAAATCACGACAGGACAAGTGAGTATTAGAATAGCTGCCATCAGTTCTGGAATTTATCCTTGCAGGACAGGATTGAGAGACTTGACTGATGACAGTACTAAGAGGCCTGATTTACATTCAGTGTTCAATCTGCTTTGAGCAGGATACTGGACTAAATAAAACTTTTAAACTCCTAATCTGTGGGATTCTATGACTTGCTACACTTTCTATCAAACTCTCTAAAGTGTCTTGAGTGTACAAGTGTAAAACAGTAAAATTCTATGAACCTTTCAATGCTAAACCTACTGTTAATATTTCTCAATAATTAATATCTCAGCACAGATTTATACTTCAGCTATTTAGTTTGGCAAACCTAGTGCTATTTTTGGATATGGCTCAGCTGTTGATCTATTCTTTCATATGTCATTAATTTTATTTACATAGAAAATAAATGAATTGCAGTGTATTAATTCTCTGCTTATAAACTGTTGCCATTCTGGAATGGTTGAAACTTGAAGTCTAACTTTTGTAACTAATTTAAAAAAGCGCGTTTGATTCAAGATTTTTAGGCCAATGTACTTATTATAGACTGTGGGAGAATTATGATGCCATACGTAAGTGGAACATAAACAGTAGATGGACTTCATGTAATTCTCGTACTGCCTACACTTCCACAGGCTTCAGTTCAAAATTTGCCTTATTAAGAAAAGTACTGTATCTGAAATACAATTTCAAGCACTTACAATCTGATCAATAGCCCATTTTATTAAGATAGAAAAATCCCCACAAATTTCATCTTTGATGGGACTCCTGATTATTTGACACAGGATGACAGTCTCATAGAAGAGGGAAATTTTTTTTGGAAAATTTACCTTACTGTGCAAGTTAACAGAAATGTTTTACTCATAAATGTTTGTAATGGCAGAACCACAGTGGACAAATTTAGGAAGACTGCTTAGGAAGCTTATTACTTTAAGAACAACGACTTCATCTGTAACAGCACTAGCCCTTTATTGCAGCTAGAAGAGTGGTACCTGCAGCCACAGAAGATCAGAAGACTCAGTGACCTAAGTCTGTCCCATTCCTGAAGATGTCAATGAATAATTCTCCAAATGTATTCTTGGATCCAAATGCAAATCGGTTTCAAGTTAACATAATTAATGAAAGCCATGACAACAATGAAGCATCCCAAGAGGACGTGGGCTCTGACCCACCACATTATGAAGAAACATCTTTTACTGAGGAAGCACACAACAGGCTGAGAATCAGTTACAGACTGGGAAAAAGAGAATTATATGACAATTTTCTTCAAAATGGGGAGAAAACAGAAGCCAGTTTACACCCCTGTGATACTCACCATAAAATGTACTATCTACAAACTTTTGGCCATAACACCATGGATCCAGTTCCTAAAATTGATTATTATCGAAACACTGGCAGCGTCAGTGGGAATAAGCTCAACAGACCAAGCTTATTAGAAATTCATGAACAACTGGCAAAGGTAAGTGAAAAGGAAACACTCGATTTTTCTCTGTTCCATTTCCAGGCTGTTAATTCTGTTTATTAATATGAAAAGGTCCTTAAATTCGTGGATCTTGCCCAAGACAAAAGTACAACTAATCACCGTATTTCCTATGGTAGCTGCAGTATGTTTTCTGCCCTATGACCTGCTTAAAGCAAATATTTTTATTAAATGCTGATAGCAATGAACTCGATTAGCAGAAAATCATAGCTTAATCTTCCCTAAAAATGTAAAACTACCATATTTCTTCTGTTTCACTTAAGATGGCAGACGATGAATATCAACCCGTAATTTAAACAAATTACACAATTCACATTTATTCCAAATTTAAATTTAACATCAATGCGTAACAAAGTTTCACAAACTCCTGAATTTTGTATTCACTAAAATATACAGCTACAGCTATTATAAAATATATTATGAGCAGTAAAAGCAATTTCAACCAGTCAGAAATCAAAGTACTACCTGTTTATTGCAGTAACCATTCAGATAGCAAGAAGGAATCAAGAACACACATGGAAAAAGAGAAAAGTAGACAACAATTTTCAGGTACCAATTCAGTGAATGAATTTTGTCCTTGGTCCTTGTACCAATGATTTTGGGAAAAATCTGAAGAGTCTCTGGAATGACCACATATAAAGTATTCATCGAAGAAGAATCTGGCTGAATTGCTTCTAACCTATCATGAAGCTCGACAGCTTTTAGGTTTGTCACCCTCTATACCTTCTTACCAGAAGAAAATACAGTGGTCACATATAATCTTTGGAGTTTGCAGATTCAAAATTTCCACTGCAAATAATTTGATAATCTAGCAACATTAGATATCAGATTTCAGAATTTCAGTACCATGTGTGATCCTGCCTCAGCAAAATTCACCTATCTATAGAGCTTTCAAGGCTCAAACTCCAAACTCCAGGAATCATCTCCATGCAAAATAGCATGGAAAATTATTAAGGAACAACTAGATCAAGCACTTTGAAACAATTAAACTATTCAAAAATCTACTGCTAAGCATTACTGGAATAACTGCAATACTCAACTGACTTTGATGAAATCAGATTCTTTCCCCTTGAGCTATAATAATAAATTCTTCATAAAAAAGCAGAAGAGAGACCCTAGGATACTCCCACTTACAGAACCAAAATCAAACCTTTCTTGAGTTTCTTTTGTGCGCTTGTCAGGACAGGGCTGGAAAGAGATCACCACTATATTCAAACACACTGAAAATGTCAATGGGCAGACAAAAAAACAAGCAAACAACTAACAAACAACCCACCACTCACTCTTTTTCTGTGTCAGGCAATACTGAAATGACAGATCTCCATAGAAAAAAAACATTCTCATTACCCGTCCACTGTCTTTTACATACTTCTGATGTCTGAATAATTCTGATAAGCATCTATTTTTGGTCCAGATCTTACTCAAACTCTATTTCTTTGGAGATTCACCTGTCCTAAATAAAAATAAATGAAATGGAGCAGAAAAATACTAGGAAAATTAGGACCTTATTCTATAGTATCTGTTTAAGACAGCTAAATGTCTACAGTCCCACTTTTTTAAGGTCTCCACAAACCTGCATAAAATGGTTTACATAGAAAGGAGAAACAAGTTACCTGAGTAATCACTTAGATTTCCATAAATGAATGCAAAGTGGATGTGAATAGGGGTGAATATGAATTCTGCTCTGCCAGATGTGCAGATGAGTAAGAGCTACTCAAGGAACTAAACACATTTCCATGCTCAAAAGAAACTTCCTATTACAGAAATAATTTACATCAATGGTATGCAGGTAGAGGGAAAAATAGTGTATTTTGGCTCTGAACACAGTGCTAAACGAACTTGTACTGAACATGAGCATATTAAGGGATTTTCAGTTTTGACCACTACCAGAAAATTCAGGTTTTTTGCTATTGGGTGTCTCATTTGGGCTAGCAGATTGGTTTGTTTGTTTTAAACGAACAGACAAATTGCTTGGGGTTTGTTACAACTTTCACTGAGAGAAGGTTAAAAAGAAGGCATCTTCCATTCTGGAATAAAATGAATGGAAAATTGCTTCACAGGTTGGGACTGCAAGGGATGAGAAAAGAGCATCGTCTAGCTCACTTGTCCCCATACGTTTTCTATTATCTATTATCCAGCTTACAGAAGAATAATCTTATGCTTCTCACAATACAAAGGTGAATGTCAGAGGTAATGAGATTTTTGTTATGCTGGCAATCTGCTGTGCCCATATGTGCTGGTTTGAGAATCACTGGCCACAGCACTGGAACAAACAACCCACCATTAGCATGGCTGAAGTCCATTCCTGTCTGTCCCACAGACTCATTTTGTGACCTTTGACTGACAGACCTTTGTGGTGTTTTCAAGATAGCACTGAACAGGATAGTTCCTAAGATAGAAGAAATTCAGCAGCTGCCAGGTTAAAAAGTACAGGGATATTACAATAGTGGCTCTGTTTCTGGAAACAGTGCAGGAGGAGGTGGCAGGCACTACCAGAAGTACCATTTGCTTGTGCATACCAAAGTGCTCTGAGGTCTGCCTTAAATTTCAAGAGAGATTCCATAAAAATCTAGTTTTCTAATGTTTTTGCTAAGTGCTTCAGGATTTCCCCATGAAAAGCACCACAGAAAGAAAAATGCAATCAAAGGTAATTTAGGCATTCTGAAGAATAAATAAACCTGAGATCACCAAAGAGTAGCTTAGTAGAGATGAGCACTACGACAGTATGAAAAACCTGAGCTCGTACTAACAGGCGAGAGCAGTATGTGCAGCTGAAGCTGTAGCAGGCTCTCCAGCAATCCCAAAGGAGAGGATGAAATGCCACAGTGTGTGTGGTGGAGCTTAGACTAATATCCCAGGATGCACATCTAGAGATGATGCTTTAATCCTTTTTTCTTTACACCGAAGTCTGGATTTACCACACCATACCCCAAGGCAATTCCTTCTCTCCCCAGCTTTTTTGAAACTGAAATTGTTGAAGACAGCTGTCTTGTCAAAAACCAATGCCAAATTTTGATAAGAAATTGCATGTATTTGACTTCAGATTTCTAAACATCACATAACCATTCCCATTGTGCTTTGATGCTGGCTTAACTTCAGAAGATAAATATTAATATTTAATACATTTTAATATGTAATTTTTCAAATGTCAGAATCTAAGGCAGGCTGAAAGGAACTTCAGATATCTAGTTCCCACACTGCTGGAATCAAATGTGTATCTTCTTTTAGCAAGATATGTCAGCTTTTGCACATATTAAGCCACAAAATACCAATTAAATCCCTAAAAAATAGTCCAAGTGCTATTTCACAGCTGATGGATGGTGATAATTACTTGGGCTTAATATTTGTCCTACATAAAAAATGATCTAACCTTTCTTCATCTTGGTTATTCTCCTCACTTGTTATGATGACTTGATGAGCTCATCATCTTTATCCTCAGGAGAGAGGAAGGCAAACCTGTTTTGAAACATGGAAAGGAAAATGTTGTGTTTGATTTTTTCTGTCTTTTTTATTTAAAAATCAATCAATCAAACAAATGAAAAAAAAAACCCACACAAAAAATCCAACGACGACAATAAAGTTAACTTCTGATTTTCGTAGATTTTCAAATTATCCTGCCACTTTATTCCACATACTTCATGCATGAGGGGCATGGGTACACCTACTTAGTAAACAACCAATCATTGACTAAAGCACACCAACTTAAAATGCATTTATGGAAGGTTTAAGGCCATAATTTATGATAATGGTATGTGAGAGCACAAATTAATTCAAAGTGTGAATGAAACAACTTGTTTCAAGTGCAAACACTGAACACTTCTTTTTTTTTTTGTCTTTGAAATTCTAACCAGCATGTATGTAAACAAGCCAAAAAACAAACAAACGTTATTCTGATAATTCTCCATAATTCATTTTAATTATGTACTGCATTTAGAGCAAACACAGCATTGTTATTTTTGGGTGAGAATTGTCAAAAATAAATATTTCAGGAGCTCAGTCACAGGTTTTCAATAGATTTTGTATTCTCATTTCGCTTAGAGTCAAAAAGGCCATATTCACCAACTTGAGTATATGTCAAAATGCATTATCCAGTCACTTATTTCTCATCTGTGAGCACTAGCCTAAATTTATTGTGTCAAAGGCATTCTAAAATTTTCCATTGTGGTGACTGGAGACCCATCTATGAGGAATCCAAACATGAGCATAAATATCACATACTACTGGTCTTTGTGCCTGTACCGTATTTTATTTTTTTAAGTCTATGTACAAACACAGAAAGAGCCTTAAAACATAAGCAAGATCTAAAAACCTCATCTGTTTCCCAGAATCACAGATGGTTCCCCTCTTTGACTTGTTTAGTTAATCTGGAAACATCTTCATCCCTCTCCAAACCCTAAAAGCACCTTGATTCCTCTCCAGAAGTGATGCACACTCCTGAAAGTCTGCCAGGCAGTGACAATGCACACAGTCCTTCCTGAAGATCCTTGCACAGGACCCATACAACATTAGCAACAGTTAATCTAATTCTGATTCAGTGCAAAGCCAGTCAGAACTTTGTATAAACATTTTTACAAGAAAGAAAACAGCAGTGACAGAAAGTATAAACCTCAGCACTGTGACTAATTCCTATTCAAGCCACAAGAAACATATCATGGTGCTAAACAGAACTGATGAGATAAAGTACAGATTTAAGTCTGTAACTGAATGTGAAAGATCCAAAATTCAGGGCTATTTATTCTAGTTACATGGCAAATGTGCTGATTTTTAATCCTATCTAGGACAGTTAAACAAGAGCTGAATAAAACACATGAAGGGTTATTCATCTACCACATTATTAATCACATTTCACCAGTATTTCTGATTGTTTTCAAGAATGTGTTGCTGTTTCGAGGACATTTGCTGCTGGAATTATGTTTGTATATTAATCAATGGAAAATACCAGAGTTCATCTCACAACTTATTTGCCATGCAGGTAGATCTCTTTTCACCAGCCAGTCATTATCCCCCTTTCTATTCTACACTTATTAACATTCATAAATTGTTGCAGCAGAATACGAAAGACAGGAATGAGACCCTCATTACATTAGGAGATCTACTAAAATATCAACACAACATAACATATGTTGAACAGAGTTTAAAATAAAACCAATTTATTATCAGGTAATGATACATTTACTTTGCTTAAGTGATTCTATCATCTTTTCTTAGCTAGCAAGCCCACCTGTTGATGCCTGGTGCCAGCAGAGTACTGCACTCTATTCATGGGACAGTAAAGCTTAATTTTTCTTGGATTTCCCTTATTCTACATCTTTTTAACTCAACAGTGTGTTTGTTTTCTCTGTGATCCTTCAGAACATAGCTGTGAGCACTGGCTCAGTGGAGAGGGTGGCTAATGGAGAAAGCACTGCTGGAGATGAGGCAGCAGCCAGCAAGGAAGAAGAAAAGAAAACAGGATTTGTCAAGTTTGGATGGGTGAAGGGTGTGCTGGTGAGAAACTTTTCTGCATTTTCAAAACATAAAATAAAATAAAATGTAGGATTAGTCCTACAATATCAAGCTCTTTTAAGAAGAGAGGGAGGTATAATTGAAGGATGTTTGGGGTGGTCCCCAGGAGCCTTCATTGTGTACCATCATGTTTCTGATTAACACTACTTTCAGTGTTATGCTAATGCAATATTATTTATTTAAAACCTAGGTAAGATGCATGCTCAATATCTGGGGTGTGATGCTTTTTATTCGACTTTCCTGGATTGTAGGTCAAGCAGGAATTGGTATGTATCTTATTTAATACCATTTTCAATAGTGAAAAGAATAAAGAGGATAAACTATACACGACTGTGATTAATATATAATCTGAGATGTGTATTTGCATGTGGAAATAAACAATGTTTTCAAATGCTTCCCAGGGTAAAATATGTTAATCCTCCAAACTATTGGAATTTTCCAGACTACCAGCCAAATTACTGCTTAGAGGCATAGATCTGTTAACTATGCATATGATCATCACATTTGAATATTTCTGAGCTTTGGTGAAATTTGTATTTAGATCCTGTAACAGATGTAAACTTTGGGACTCAAGCCAATTTCTAATACGTGTGTACAGAATTAACCTGTAAGAGTTCACACTCTGCTTATCTGTGAATCCCAAACCTTGTCATCTGCATATTAAAAACAACACTTCTTCACACTTGTCTGCAAAGATGAAAACAGAATTGGAAGGAGGTCTCATCTCATCAGGATTTTATTTTTAACTATAGCAGAGCACTAGATACTACACTTATTAAAACTTTGTTACCTCTTTTGTTAACAAAGTACACCTCATAGCCTGCTGTACCTTTGCTTCTCTACTGTATTTTAATTAACCCAATTCCCACTTCGCACCCTTGGGAGACTGGGCCTCAGGGGCTCCATTCAATATGTTGAGCAATCAATGCAAAAGAGCTCAAAACACAGCAAGAACCCACAACTAGAAGCAGCCCAGGAAGGTATCATTAACTGTTGTATGGCACAACTTCCTTTTGATAGCTGCTGTTGAGAGGAAACACACACTGAACCATGACAGCAGTGTCACTGTGTTACATGCTTAAAATTAAAATGGGGCCCTAATTTTTGATTAACATCTAGACATCATAAAAAGCACCAATCCAAAGGGCCAATGGCAAGTATTTCAGTTTGTATTCTCACAGAATGGAAATACTGAGTAGACATGAGCTGGAGTCCAAAGTCTGGCCTCTGGGTCTCAACTCACCACATCTTGGACAAAACTCAGTGCTCAAATTCAGACAGAGTAAGACCATCACTGATTGATTTGTTATTGGCTGAGATGAAACACTGAGCAGAAACATCTCCAGAATTTTGCCTGACTGAGGTGGAACTTCCAGCAAAACACATTAACTTTACATAAGTTTTGTTTGAGGAAGACTGAGCTTTAAAAAAACAGATACAAGTGAAATACTCATTAAGGGGAAAAAAAAAAAAATCCAGCCACAAACCTCTAGGCACAAGAAGGAAAAAAAGCCAACACAATAAAAGTTCCAGAACTAAGCGGAAGAACTTTACCTACTTTTGCAGTGCGCCATGCATGGCTCCAGCACTGTGCCTGACAAAGGGGTGCTTGCTGACTTTATGATGCATATCAAATGAGAGCACGCAGCCCAGGGCACTCATAAGTATATGCCTTGCCATGAAAACTCTGCATCTTAATATTGCCAAGACTTTGCTCTGGGGTTTCATGCAAAATTAGTTTTTAAGGGCAGTTTAGTAACTTATTGAGATCATCAAGAAGTATTACTTTGTTTTGAGGTGTGAGAATAGCCATAGGCAAGAGTAATTCATTTTAGAACAACTTACTTAGCAGCCATACACCTAGGTTTCAATCTAAATTTTAATCAGATTTTAGCATTAATTTGCACCAACATCAGTAGCATTTCTGCTTTCATGTTTAATTTTACCAATTTAATTCACAGATAAGCAGATCCTCTTTTCCTATGCTTTATTGCCCTGCTATTGCTTTTTTAAAATTGCATGTCTTATTTAAGGATGTTACTTCTACTACTTCTGAAAATGAAACATCAAATTCTATTTGGATAATCTCTCAGTATGTTTTCAGAATGTCTTGTAAACAATGAGTTTAAATCTGTAGCCAAAAGTTAAAGAAAACAGTGATAGAAGCTCAACATCGTGATAACCTGGGGATTTCACATAGTAGTACCACTAACATGAAAATTAAATCTCAACCTACCATCTAGGCACCATTTATATTCCCATAGTTACTGGGCCAAAGAGAGAAAAACCCATTATTTCCTTATTCTAATAGGCTGTCTTGGGGAAAAAGCTCTAAGAAGGAAAAAATCCAGGGCCTGGGTTTATCATCAAGTAGGACAAAAGGCACAGGCTGATTCTGGTAAGAATCAAGGTCCACAACCAGTCCTGTATTTTCATGATATCTGGGTACTCTCCATCTGTATTTGTACCTAAACATAGAATGGCTAACCAAAGACACCGAGACACCAAGTTTATGTTAACTGAAAATGTGGCCCCAAATATTACAACTGTGTTACACTAGATTACATTACAATAATGTTTTGGTTATGTCACTTGAATTATTTTATGCATTTTTCTTCTTAAATGTAAAAAATCTTTTTTTTTAAATTAATATTAAGTCTTCCCAAGCAGATATTACTCATCAGATTAGCAAAATATGTGCCCCTAATTAACATATACATTTACAACATGGCCTGTGAAATCTACAACATGTGGTGGTAGCTGACCAAAAGAAATGCCCACTGGGATTATTATTTTTTTTTAATGTGGACTACATACAAAATAAGTGTATGACTTGTTATAAAATGGTTCAGAAATCAGTAGGGTAAAAGTGATTTATTAGAGTCTCAAATCACTTCATATATTCTATGTTGTGCTATAAAACATTTGTATCCCTGTGTTACATTGTTTTCAAAGGATTGTGATAACAAGTCTGTAACTTAAGCAGTGAAAAACATTCACTCATAGGCTGGATGTCTATAACCTTACAGTATGAATAGAAGTTAGTAACCTGATCTAGAAACCGAGACGTAGATGAATCAATATATTTGTAGTTCTAGTTGAAATCAGTTGAAGGATCCAAGTTCCAATTTGCAGGAGCCATGGTCAATAAATACTGCTATAGGCAATATATTATCTTCAGTTCCACACTGAAGACCTCTGTACTTTACAGAAAGAGCTACTCCATAAGTGTTGGTAAGTTCAGATAAAACTAAGAACTAATTCAAAATTTTTCTCCAAATGATAATTATTTCAATTTTTTTCTTCTCTCGTAGCTAGAAATGGGAATATAAGCTATAAATTTGAGAGAAAGTATCTTATTTCTTCATCAGACTTGAAAGAAGAAAGTACTCTTCAAATACAGAGCCAAACTTTTCTCCATATTTCCAGAAAGCATAGCAAAAGCAGAGGCCATAATTGTAGTTCAGGAGGTCCAGATAGGACATAAGGACATATTTTCTCCATGGGCGAGTCGTCCAGCACTCCACCATGTAACTCCAAAGAGAATGGGGGATTTTTATGGAGGTTTTGGGGATCCAACAATCTGAAGCTATCACTGAGTTAATCCAGTGCTGGTGATAGCTCAGCTCTGGCTGAGAGGCTGAACTCTACACCTTCAGAACTCATTTCCAACTGATGTTTCTAGGAATCTAAAGCAAACTAGACACCTAGCATGGTTTCACAAAGCTGGAAACACACTCAAATTTCAAAGTCTTACTGAAATTGAGTTCACTTGTCAGTAATATTGATCTTCAGATGTTTATCTGTTTCCATTTAATTATATAATTTTCTGATGTCAGCTAAAAAAGGATGCTAAATTATTGAAGATTATCCATTACAGGCTACTTAAAGTGAATGACATCTGGGAAGCAACATTTCCACTTTTGAATCTTGATCTTGTGTTACAGTAAAATTGCTTTTTGCAGGGAAAGAAGGCGATGAGGAGAGAGTAGGTTAGCATGGCACTTGACAGCCTAGCAAATAAGAATGTTGAAGGATCACACTCAGGCCTTGTTTCTGAACCTGATAGATTCCTTGTCCTGTCCTGTCTGAAACGATACAGTCGGTCTGTCTCCAATTCAATATTTAACTAACTGATGAAAGACAGAAACATTCTTACAAGAAATCTGGTTAATCTCTTCTCCTGAAGAGCCAGGATATATATTAAAGGTACATAGAAGCATTCAGACCAAGGAATACTTGCTTGCTCATTTCACTCTGCTATTGAAGAAAAATATAAAATCATAAAGGGGCTTCTGGCTAGGGTCAATGATGATCTCCTATCAGAAATCATCATTGCTCGGAGACTGATGGGAATAATTTACTGCTGGCACATGGGCTCCTTGGAAGCGTTCTGCAAATTCCAAATGGTCAACAAACCAACTTTCCGTTTATTGCTCTGATTCTGGCCTGAAAATTCCATTTAAATAGAGAATGATTTGTAGGAATCATGGAACACGAGTAAACTATTTTATCTTGTTATTACTGACAGGTCTTGGAGTAATCATAATTCTCCTCGCCACGATGGTAACCTCAATTACTGGGCTGTCAACTTCTGCAATAGCAACTAATGGGTTTGTCCGTGGAGGTAAAATCTTTAGGGTTACTAATGCTTTCAAGCTCCAAAAGATCTTTATGTATTATTTTTCATATGATGCAAACCAGAGGGATGCTAAACCAAACGATGGATCTACAGGACCAGGAGGTAACAATTCCAGACAGCTCTAATCACAATTAACTGCATGTTTGAGTTGTCACTTTTCATAAATTCCACATTTCAGTTCAGTCTCTGAAGTACATTTCAGAAGTTCCTGCCAAATGCAGAGTGAGGAGTGGCATCTGGATTTGCAATTTTTTAATTCTTACCTTTCAGCAGGTCTTTCTTATTCAGAGCCTTTCAGGTTGGACATCCTTGGACAAAACAAGCACCGCACTCTTCCTCTTATTTTTAAGTCTGATGCAGATCAGTGGATATCTTCAATTTAATTCCTTCCAGTATACTTCTTCATAATACCCCTTACGTTTCAGCTACCTCCTTAGAAGATGAGCAAATATTTTCACTGGAAAAGTAAAGCACACATCAGATATCTTATCAAAAAAGGTTTCAGTACATTTCAGAGCCTTAAAGTTATAACCAGTCCATGCTAAACCTCTGTGGAAAACAGCAAGTTCTTACTACATCATTTAAGCAGAACAGGTATTTGAATACACTTGAATATACTTTCTTTTTCGAATCTTTCAGGTCTTGGAATCATAGTTATTGCTCTGAGCGTAGTAGTAACAACTTTAACAGGTATCTCCATGTCTGCCATTTGCACCAATGGAGTAGTAAGAGGAGGTAAGTGAAAATCATTGCAGGAAAAATACAGAATTCTACAGATTTGAATTAGAAAAAAAGTGGGAATTAAGTATGTTATAAGCAAAATAAGAATAAATAAATATATTTGGGATGATCTCTCTCAGTGGAACAACAGTAATTTAAAACATTTATAGTCTTAAACATTTCTTGGCAAAAAAATATTATGTAAGAGAGGATGAAATAATTAACTGGCAAAGTAATATGCTCCATTTATGGTGACACACAAAAAAGGATTAATGACTCATTGCATTTCTCTGTGGGAGCTTTAAAAATGTATCACAGCATAAGATTATACATGCTAAATTGGGATGGATCTAAGTAAGGTAGAACTTATCCTGAGGTGAAGTTTCCTCTACTCTGTAGAGGGCTGCTCCAAAAGTAATGCATTGTATTTTAATATATTGGCCCACGGTGTCAGAGGCAGATGTTGGTGGTATGACAGTAGAGGATAAACCTTCTGTCCATTACATGTTGCCTGCTGTGCAACAGATGGCAGCAGAGGGGCAGTCTGACAAAATGGTGCCTGACATGGAAGTGCATACAAAGGAAAAGTGTGGAAGTGAATTCGCCCACATGGAAAAAATTTCACCCATTGAAATTCGTCAGTGCTTAATGAACATTTATAAACACTGGAAGTGAGCACAGTGAAGTGCTGGGTTGTAGATTTCAGCAATGATGTCATTATAGCACCTGTGAAACAGTGGGTCACCTGCACTGATACAATTTTTATAAGCACAGCATGCACTCTTGTTCATCACTGGTGAAAATGCACACCTAATGGTGATGACTACATCCAAAAATAGTGTTCTGTAGCTAAGAATTTGCTATTTCAAACAGTGTCATTGCGCTCTTTGTATTTTGTTGTAGTCTCCATGGAAATAAATAAATGGAAATAAATAAGAGGCATTACTTTCAGAGCAACCTACGTATATTATGTATCATGAAAAATTGTTTGAAGATCTAGTTTTGCAAACTAGCATGTCCTGAAGGATTACTGCAGTGGAAGGGCATTCAGAATAGTCTGAAGCCAGAGCCGGTACAAAGCACATTCCTTATTTTTCAGTGTCTTCTATTAATCTTTATTACGTTTGTTAGGTTTAAAGTAGAGATTCCTGTGGTATAATGTGAGAAAAATAAGCAAACACTGAGCATAATTTCTGCCTGCAGGTGGCGCATACTATCTTATCTCAAGAAGTCTAGGTCCAGAGTTCGGCGGATCTATAGGACTTATCTTTGCTTTTGCAAACGCTGTGGCGGTTGCTATGTACGTAGTTGGATTTGCTGAAACGGTCGTAGAGCTTCTTAAGGTAAATACTGATGTTTCATGTACACTGTTAAGTTGGGGCTTTTTTTTTTTTTAGCATTTGTTTAAATTGTGATACTTTTTAGCTGTACTTTAAGCAATGCCTTTAACAGGAAAGAAGCTGGTCTGTCTAACTGTGACGGAGTGCTTCTCCATTATTTCTGTCTTATGAATATGCCAATGATTTCTCAACAAGAGCCTCAAAAATCAGGAAAGGAGATAGATATCCATCCAACTAGATAGCCAAATAACCCCAGCTAAGTGTAAGCTGAAGCATGAAATACGAATAGTTTGTCTCACAAAATGCCGAAACTAATTAAACTATGACAACTCATTTCCTTTTATTTCACCTTGTTACCTAACCCCACCAGCTTGATTGAGAAAGGCTGGTTTTAACAGTATTTCTTACTCTTTTCAGGAGAGTGATTCAATAATGGTAGATGAGTCCAATGATATCAGAATAATAGGTACCATAACTGTTATATGTCTTCTTGGCATCTCTGTTGCTGGCATGGAATGGGAAGCAAAGGTAAAACTTTAAAACTAAATACAAGCAAAGAATATATTAGAATACTGTGCAGGGTTAACACATGAGGAATGCTGTACAACAGGTGGGAAGCCTAACCTTTCTAAAAGCAAAGCAGTTTAATCATTACATTCAATGAAAGCAATACTACTCTATGTTCTTCCTTGAACATTCATTTAAGAGGGAAAAAGGAAGTTTACGTTCCACAGACTGCTTGTTTATATTGATTTTCATAAGCCATGGCATCATTTAAAGCCTTGAGTAAGCGCCCCTTTTGTCCTTATTTTTGAAGCAGCTTGAGAGAATAAGTAGCAGTTAAAACAATGTTTTTGTCACTGTACCCTCCGAAGCTCTGCCTAGCAGGAAAGCTCCATTTTCTGTCCATTCCATAATCTCGGATGATTTCTGCTATTCCTTTATCTTACATTAAAAAAACTAAAAATGGAAATACAAATGAAAATACCTCAGAATGTAGAAATCAGTTCTAGAATAGGACTTCTCTTTTCATATTCTGCTGTGACAAAAGCTTAGAACTGCTTGTAAAAGATATCAGAAAACCAATTACATATTATAACACTTCAAGTGACCATTCACTGCAACTAAACAATTTATATAACAATATAAAAATGTCTCATACATGATATTTATGCATTAACTTTTTCATTTTCTTTTTTCCTTTAAAGAAAAAATATAAAATAAATTAAATTATAACTACTTTATAAACACTGTTAGTAAAAACTATCTGCTGTTATAATTAGCTGATAGCAGTTTGTTTTATTCAGCTGTCTCGATTCCTGGTGTTTTCTAGGTCTATAACAATTTGTAATCTGTCATAGGGAACACAAACATCACTTAATCACTTATATTTAGCCATCTCCATTGTCAATGTAAATTAAAATCATTGGGGAAATCTTTGTTTCTGTTAACAGGCTCAAGTTATTCTTCTAATTGTTCTCCTTATTGCCATTGCAAACTTCTTTATTGGGACAGTCATTCCTACCAACAACGAAAAGAAGGCAAAAGGCTTTTTTAATTACCAAGGCAAGTATTGCTTGTCTATCACAGAACAGTAACTTCATTCTTTGCAGCTGCATGCTGAGTTGAGGATTCTACTGAAAAAGTCACAAGATCAGGATCTTTAGCCCAAGTTTAAATAGGCTTGCAAACCAAGGGAATTTATTTCACCTTCAATTTTGAGTCTGTCTGTCTGCTGCTGAAGCTGACAGCAAAGTTAGCTGCAGTTTGAGTCACATATATATCAGCAGAGCACAAACCTTTACACAGAGCTAAGTGCAAGTGCTGTAGTGACACTGCTGTCACTTCAATGTGGAGCTGTAGCTCTGAGATGCAGACAAGCACATCCTACTGGGGATCAGATGAGGAAATCAAATTCATTTTGCTATGATATGAGACAGATTCAAACCCAAATGTACAGACGTGAAAGACTAGATTATTCATCCCCCTCATTAAGTAACTTTGGAATCAAATCCCATCAGCTTCTTACATTTTCACCTGTATTTGCAGCATCAATATTTGCAGAAAACTTTGGACCAGATTTCAGAAGTGGAGAAGGATTTTTCTCAGTGTTTGCCATCTTTTTCCCAGCTGCAACTGGCATTCTTGCAGGAGCCAACATCTCAGGAGATCTGAAAGTATGTATTTCATTAATTTCATAATACTAGCTTTGGGTGAAGAAAGAACAAGAAAACTAATTATGAATCAGCACTGTATTCAGTTTTAAATCGTGCCTGATTTTGTAAGCAAAACTCTCTTTTAAATATCTACTATGTTATTTAAATCTACCAGTTCACATTTTCTTTCCTAATAGATTATGAGTATTTACACAAATTATTGCATTCAGATTTGGGTTTCTATATAATTTAAAAGCATATTTCCATAAGCTGCAGTAATGTAGCATTAATGGGCCATTTGCAGAACACTACACAGAGAAATTGTGTGTATCTCCTGGTGCATTTTTGCAAAATCTATATCATCCCAAAAAAACACACCTGTAAAGCTTGTGCTTGTACTCACAAGAATCACGGGAGACCAGCTTTTTCTATTCAGGGTCATAGCAGAATAAACAGAGCGTTTATTGAAAGCAAATATGTCCCAATCCCTTGTCACTATGGCTGCTCAAAGGAAAAAATGCAAGTTTGCAGCTGTGACAGAAGAAAGGAGTCTGAGGAGAAAGGGAAAGGGGGTCCAAGGGCAACTAAATGTCCTGCTGTGGCTGTTCTGTCAAGCTCTCACTCTCCTCTTGCAGTACAGCAGTTGTGTAAGATGGTACTTCAGTATTTAAACAAACTGGTAAGTCAGAGACAAGATATTAATTATAACTTTGAGTGCTCTCTAGTTTTCATGACTGTGCACAGCGAGTATATTGCAGAGTGTTTACAGCCAAATACAAAAATGAACAAATTCAAAGCTCACCAAAGCATTTTGTAAAACATCTCTAGTAAATATACAGCAGTGCAATTCTTCATAGCATTACAATAAACTAGAAATGTACCAGGGTGGGTATCCATGACTCAAGTTTTGGAATCTAGTGTTTAAAATAAAATAAAATAAAATAAAATAAAATAAAATAAAATAATTAAAAACAAACAAACAAACAAAAAACAACAACAACAACAAACAAACCCACAAAATAACAAGCAAATAAACCAAAACACTAAAAAGTCACCAAAAGGACACAAGTCAAACCTAGCTTCCTCCAGCATATCCAAAGATGGCTTTATCATACAGACCCATTGTCCTTGATACCTTAAGGATTCAACCAAACATCTATTAAATCTGTATTGGCACAGCAGTCACAAGTTCATCAGGATCCTACCATCCCTGACAATCAGATTTGTTTCCCTCCCTTACACTGATTGCATGCCCCATCTCCTTAGTTTCCAGAAGACTGCTTTTGAAGCCAAGCACAGAGAGAAATAGGTGGAATTGGGGCCACTAATAATGATGTTTATGAGATTCCATTTTTAATTAAAAAGAAAACAAAGCAAATCATTGTACTTCTGCCCACTGAGACTGAATCAGCCTCACAGTCTCCATCTTTTTAACAAACAAAAAATAATTATTTTGCCATATATGGTGCTCTCTATCTATGGTAAACTCCCAAAGTAGCAGCACTTCTTTCATAAGCTGTTTGAAAGAGTTTGAACAGACCAAAGGAACCAACTCTCCTGTTGGCTCCCTGCAGTTGTTCCAATCTGGCAGTAGGTAGAGGTCTATGACCAGCTCCTCCAGGCTGTAGATTCCCCACTGAGCATATTTAGATGCATTAGACAGGTCTAATTAAATTAACCACCTTCTCCAGAAATCTAAAGGACAAGCTAAGAATTATTTTAATGTAAAACTGTCAAACCAGATTTCTTGTAAACAGCTATGCAGAGGCTTCTGTAGACACTACACATTCAAGCGGTGAGCTAGTTCAAAGCCTACTCACAGAAAGAGTCTGTCTTCCTAGGGACTGCAGAGGGCTTGGGAGCAGATATTAAAATGCTAGCAACATATTAAATGTTTCATTGCTAATATAATTTAAAAGTTGTAAGGCAGTAACAAGCTCAAACCCTAAGATTTAAGGTTAAGGTGTTTAAGACTGCAACATAAGACTTGGCAGAAACAGTGACCCATGACACACACACCAAGACTGTACATATTAAAGCTACCACGATTTAAAGGCTAAAGCTCTTACAGAGTTGAAATGACTTCGAAGTCATTTTTCAGTTCAATAAATCCTTACCTCATTAAAATTATGTTAATTTTTAAATGCAATTAAGTCATTCATCCCCATTCCACACAACTCACCAAATTATATTTTTTTCCATTCAATGAGCATAGTTGTTATAACAGCAAAACAACTTATGGCTTAAAATGTATGCAACCAAAATAAACCTCACTGAAAACTTAAAATAAACCATCTGCAACCAAAATAAATCTCACTGAAGAAACTTAAGAAGACAATTCACCAAGTGCATTCTAGCATAAACAAACACACATTAAATTATAATGCAAATCACTGGACTCACTCACAGCTGGACGAATGAAGTCAAAATTCTCGGGAACTAGTTTATAAGCATGATATTCCCACCTTATTAAATCTTCCAAATTCAAAGTCAGAACAGTGAAAAGCAGCAGTTTGTTGTCAAGGCGTAAGTACTAACAATTACTAGCTGCTAATCACAGAAGTACTGTATTCTGCTCCAAGTAACTTATGTGCAACTATCATGCTGATGAACCAAAAACAGTCTCGTCTTCTCATCCACACAAGTGTCAAGGCAACTTCATAAACTGCATTAATGCAGAACTGCATTATACTTGCTTAAACAATTGCTTACACCAAAAGCCTGATCTTTATGAAGGTGCAGAAGGTTTAGTGCCAAGCTGTTATAGGAACATGAGCTGTAATCATGTCCTAAAGTGGCTGCCTGTACAACTGCGTCCTGCTGCCAGAGGAAAAGGCATCATGTTGAATGGAATAGACTCATGGCCTGGAAATGAACATCATCTGAACCCACTGAATCAAGCAGTTTGATTAGTTCAGCAACTATGTACCATTTCAACATTAAGACGTTAAAATAAAGCTCACTGCAGTGTAGGGGGAGTTCAGAGCACTCAGAAATGCAGAGTTAGTCCCACTCCTGCTGAATATCCTACACTATGCCGAAGATAGGAGCACTGCACCAACAACTGCTTCATGGCTATGCATGCACAGGGACAGGAGATATGGGCACAGCTCTAAGTGATAAAAATCTACCTTCTCCATATCACAGTGTGATAGGACTCACTGGTATACAGAGTGCAGCATGTGAACTCAGTGTTTTTTGGATCACTGCTTTATTTTAAGGACCCGCAGGGTGCGATACCCAAAGGAACAATGCTGGCCATTCTGATCACAACAGTTGCTTACATAGCCGTTGCGGTATGTGCAGGTAAGCAAAGAACCTCTGTTTCGTGACTTAATTTATACAGTTAAGAAAATCTGAAAGCCTGGTATACAAAGGAGTGATTAGTCCTGTGGATTTATTATGTAGAGGTAGTTGCTTTGATTTTATTGCATGTAAGAACAGTGAATAAAAAGAAATAATAAGCAGAAACAAAAGTCTCTGTTTCAGAAGCCAGGTGGCATTTGTCCTGTTTGGATTCACATAGAAGATGGATTTTCATGTACTTTGCTTTTACATTTGATTCAGCATCAAAGACAACTATCTGGTAGCATCCATGAGTGCATTCAAGGAACCTCAGATCAATCTGCTCATCTTCGTTTTTCCTTCATATTGAGGTTTCACATTTCACAAGGCTTCTACTTGTTCTCCTTAGTCTTACTGAGCACTCACAAGTGACGTGGCAACATGTTTGTTTTATCTGTTTGTTTTATCTGTTGTGTGACAACATTAAAACCAATTGTATATCTCCATGAAGATGTGCTATGTCACTAACTGCTCTGCAATCTGAGGTAACAAAAAAGCACACAGGTATCAAAATGAGGCCTGTACTGCAGCCATGAACTGGTGTTGGAAGAACATAGAATTACATTCTCATTACAAGGATACAATAAATCTCTGTTCAAGAAATAAAGATTTTTCTTCTACTTGAACAGTACTGTAATAAAGAGTGTTGTAAATGATGCTCTTCCTTGTGAGCAAATACCTCAGCACTGTATGAAAGCCCTGCAGGGACTCCCTTTTTTGTACTTCATGCAAAAAGGCAGAATACCCAAGTCAGATGTTACATTTAGACCTAAATTTCACCTGCAACTACAGTTGGAACAGTTATTCTTCACTTTCTATTATAAATCTGTGTTACTGCATTGTTCTGTTCTGATAAGCAATAGCTTCAGAGCTGTCTACCTTTCAGTGCAATACTTTTTCCTATTTCCTTATCTATTTTCTAAGGAGATGATGTTTATTTTGGGATTCTCAACATATTTGAAAATTTCACGTAAATTCACATTTTGGCTGCTAAAAATGTAGTTATCAATTGTTGGTGGTTTTTTTTTTTCCATTTCTGGTAGCAAACAAAAAAAGACAGCATAAATATGCCCTTATTAAACACAGAGAACATAGACAGTTTACTCCTGTTAGAAGTTTTTCTTGCTGTATTAGTATATGTAGGGCTGTGACAATTTAAACAGCTAAAGATCTGGGGCTCCAAAGTAATTGTGTGCCCTTGATACACCAGAAGAAATATGCCTAGACCTAAGATCCTCACTGCAATGATACCTTTGAATACTGACTCCTGGAAAAGTGGTGTCAGACTGACAATATACTTCTTAGTTAATACATTGTTCATCTCCAGAGCATCTGTTTCTCTACTCTTAGATAAATACATGTCTTCTTTAGTCAACTGGATTATTATTTTAAGAGTAACAGAAGAAAATAGCTGTCTACAAATAACATGAAAATCTATACTACAGGGAAGTAAATTGGGCCTAACACAAAACATTACTTTTTGAGATGATGCTGAAGTAGAGATTGAACAAAACATATATAGACCAACAATCACAGCATGGAAAGAACATCATTCTGTTGTCACAAGAAAGGAAAGTAATAGTATATTCTTGTTTCCACAGCCTCCTGTGTTGTACGAGATGCTACTGGGAACATCAATGATACAGTTATACCTGGGATGAGTTGCAATGGATCATCTGCCTGCAACCTAGGCTATGATTTTTCCAGATGCAGAAGTCAGCCATGTGATTATGGGCTGATGAATAATTTTCAGGTTTTAATAACATATACAACCATAAGTGATGCACAAACACTTTAGTACAAACATGCGAAGATATTATTTACTGACAAGTGACAGCAATAGGAAATTCACTTTTATCTAGTAAAAATCAAAAAACAGGAGTAATGTGAAAAGTCTGCGCATTTCATGTTAGCTTCATGGAAGGTAACTGACGCCACTAGTCTTCCCAGTACTCTGGTAACATCCTAACCTCTTTCAACAAGTACCATGCAGGAGTATATCCTCCAACACCTTCAAACTCGAAGCCTAGGCTTAACAAAGACATCTGGAATTCCTGCCAGATGAGCAGTTCATCTCACTTTTCTTAACACACGGATGTGGCTTCACCTCAGGGGTGCTGCGGCTGCTCTTAAAGGTTTAATCCACAATACAAAAGCCAAAGTTCAGACTTCTTCTAAAAAAGTATCTGAAATAGTCAAGTGAAAAACCAAGTGAAAAGTAACAAGATCTTTCTCCAAGGCCAGACAGAGCGCCATTTCTATTCTTCAAAACAAAGCTTAGGCAAAGGATCAAAGTAAAGCAGTTCTGCACGACCACGACCATTGCTCCCAGATGTCTGTGCAGCCCCTCTGCTTCACAGCCACCAGAGGAGCTCACCGCCTACCTGCACTTGCTTTTCAACTTGCCATTTGGAGCTTTCAAAGTCACTTGCTTTTTTTCCCAGCTGCTTCTGCTAAATGACAGGGCTGGGTAAAAACCTTTAAAGGGATATGCTATCTGTAGTGCAGACTGCTTTCCTTCCATCCTCATTTCCACCTGAGCTCAGATGCTCAAACTCAGGGGAACCCTTCAGAAAAAGGACCTCGCCAAAAGCATGAACAGAATTTCATTTTATGCATTTATCCTTGCCAGACTGATGTCAGAAAAGCCAAATTTTCAGTTGACAAATCTCTAGAATTAACTGTTCTCTTTCCTGGAGTGCTTCTAACACACCAAAAGTATCAGGCAATCACATCCATCTACTTCATCTTTTTACCTCCTTCTCTGCTGCTTCTGAACAACCCTTTTGGTTTAATGGTGGTGAAGGCCAGGAAAGGCCCCAGGAAAGAGAGGCCTGATGGTGCCCACCACTGCTGTTTGCAGAACTGCTATTGTACCAGCACAGACGCACGTTCTCTTCCTTTTTTAGCTGTGTTAAATAATATTAAAATCCAAACAAACACAAATCTCTTTGACCATATTAAATACTTCAGGGTTCTGTCCTGCTGTTTCCACTTTCCCTTCTTGCTCAAGTGTTTATCTGTCAAGCAGAGGCCGTTACTTATGGCAGTAAATTAGTGAAGGAGGTAAGAAAATCTCAGAGTACTCATGTGCCCTTGCACACAGCTGCAGGTTTGTATTCACATTTGGCCGTGGCTCAGTTGCTTTCCACTAAAAAATGAATAATAGTATTCCCATACCTCACAGCAGCTTTGTAGTATATATATATTGAATTTAGGACTACTAAAAGCTGAGACACGCAGAAACATACTAATTAAACAGATCTGTGATTAAAAAATGTATTCAAATGCAAGCCTGGCTATTTTTTTCCCTTCTTTTTTTTCTACAGGTGATGAGTATGGTGTCTGGCTTCGGTCCTCTCATCACAGCTGGCATCTTTTCTGCTACTCTGTCATCAGCTCTGGCATCTCTGGTCAGCGCACCCAAAGTTTTTCAGGTAGAAATCCAAGTATCCATTTCTTTATACTCTATTTTACTTCAAAAATAAACAATTTAGCTGAACTCTATGTGCCAAGTGCAATAGGTATTTGAATAACGCTGATATATGTATTTCTACAGAAATAGGCAGGTCTTATCACCTTGCTACAGACATGGGCATTTAGGATTGCTGCATGCCTTTGGTCAGAGCTCAGCTTGGTGGCAGGAGAGGGGGATGCACACGTGTTTGTTAACTTCAAGGCTACTTTCAGGACCACTATCTCCTGAGAGAGCCAGCCTATACCTCAGGAATGCCAGGAATCTGCAGAAGCTCTCATTCCTGTGCTGGCAGGTGTGCTGAGACATGCTGTCCACAAGCTGTTGGAAGCAGCAATGCACACAGAATGGCAATGGAGGGCACGGGAAAGACAGATAACTTGCACAGATCTGACTTCTGCTTCAGTTCCCATCAACTTAAAGTCTGTTTAGATACTCTATTAATGTCTCTTTAAAGCACTGAATAAGTGTTAAATGTCTGTGATTTTGTTTTGATACTATAATTTGGCAAGATATTAGCTTATCACCTTATTTGAATGTTTATATGCCATAGCAGTAGACGTATTTAAACTACTAAGTTAGATTAAATTTTTGTTTAGCTAAAGTCTAGTAAGCTGTCACTCACAGAAAACTTCTTCCGATGCAAGAATGCCCTGATTTGTCCCCCAGGCTCTTTGCAAGGACAATGTCTACAAAGGACTCCACTTCTTTGCCAAAGGATACGGAAAAAACAACGAGCCAATCAGAGGATACGTACTCACTTTTGTGATTGCTATGGCATTCATTTTGATTGGTTTGTATACAGTTACATAAATGCAACAACCTGATGTTTTGAAATTCTATAAACTGATATCTTAATACAATGATTAGCTATAGTTAGAAAAGATTCCAACCAAGTTAGCACACCCAAACTATGTCAAATATGGCAAACTTAGTAAATATATTTCTAGTTTGTACTGTATATAGAAGTGAAATAATTTTGATGCAATTAGGAGGCCTGCTCTGCCAAGCCTTCTCCGTAATTAGCTCAAAAACACAGCTCAAATTACTAGCACTGGCATCAGAAAATCCCAGCTACTGTATTGAGTGTGCTATCACACACAATATTAATCATATATTAGCAGTACATTTGGAAGTGTTGAAATTTTAAAATTGATTTCTCTGGGACTTCAATTTCAAATTGTGTGGCACTGTCAATAAATGCAAAGTGTAGCTGGAGAATTCAGATTGCCATTTAAAAAGCAAAACAATACTTTTTAACTACAAATTAATAGTAGCCTTTTTAGGATCACATCTGTCCTCTAAATTACATATTTGAAGTTCTGAAACCTACATCAGCTCCACATCATTAAGAGGCAATCTGTAGAATCAGAGCGTCAAGTATAATCTTGCACAGAGTATAGATTATATAAATGAACAGACACATTGGTATGAAATGAGGTATATCAAGGTGACCTTAAATTAGTTCCACAGAAAAATACTGGAACTCTCTCTGGACAACAAATCCAGACAGTATACAGATTTAATGTATTGTCAGGAAAAAGCTGTAACACAGCTTAGGAACCTACGTACGTACGTCTGAATTGTGTCTTGCAGCTCAACTGAACACCATTGCTCCCATCATCTCCAATTTCTTCCTGGCTTCATATGCTTTGATTAATTTCTCCTGCTTTCATGCCTCATACGCAAAATCTCCAGGTGAGTCGGCATTCACCAGTGATTTCAGTGTGGGCTTCACAAACTCATCTCTGCATGTTCTTGACTGTTTGTCAGAGAAAGCTGCAGTACCTGTAAAACATCTAAGCTATGTGATTTCAGGTTTTACTGCTCCCATTGAATATGATGACATTTTATTTATCTCCAAAAGACAAAAATAATGGCTCTTTCCCTTATGTTCCTCCCTGCAGTTGTGTAAGATGAAAAAGGCTTTGGTGGATCTTACTGGAGCAAGAAAGCTGCTCCTTAGGGTGTTTTTCCCCTCACTATCAGTCAACAGGATGGATAAAAAACATATAGTATCTCTGACCACATAAAGTAAGTAAGGTGAAATGGGGTCTTTATGCCCTCCTGCCAAAACTACAATCACATTTGAAGAAAGTTTGTAAGAACAGTAATTGTGATGGAAGTGATACAGCCTGGAAGAAAACACACAGAACAAGAACAGGTCCCCAGACCAACATTAAGATAGCTCCGCAGTGGCTAGTAGCAGAATTGTAGGGTAGAGTACAATGAGGTCCTCTACAAGGATATCTTGAGAGTCACTCTCTACATTTGCACTGCAAGGGAAAATACAGGCTTACAGGCGTACGCATCACCACATCAGAATAATCCACCTCAACATCATTATTAAGAACAAAAGTCAATCAGCTGAGCAGCACGACTGTGGGCAAAAAGGAAAGACAATTTCCTGCTACTGTGAATCAGATATTCAATTCTAGAAGCAAGGAATACATTTTTTATTTCCAGTGTGAAGAAACCTGCAGTGGTAGCATAAATGCCTACATCAACTTCCTTCCTACAGATCTGCATGGTGCCATTTGTTCAGAGGGCAGAAAAGATGAGCACTTCTGCTAATTACCTGCACAGCTGAACAAATGCAGATCTGCTCCACGCGGCCTTAGAGCTGAGTAAAAATTACTTTTACAGACTTTGTGTATGTGCATCTGTTTCAACTCTGCCACTACTTAACATTTTCTGACAAAACTGCAGCCATTTTTTTTCTTTTCTTATTTCCTCCAGTTAATTTCTGCCAATTCACAGTGATAGATTATTATAATTGCAAGCCTGCAGGACAGCAAATTTCTTCACAGCAGGACCTTCCCATTCCCTCATTACAAAGACGATCCAAGACAGGGTTGCTCAGCCTCTCCTTGTATCTTCAGTGTTTTTCCCTCTCTCCAAAAGGGTCTGCTCTGCAGAACACCTGGCAGAGACCTGCAAACCACGGAGACTCACTGCTTGTCTCATTTTAATTGCTAGCAGGGGAAGGATTCAATACTGCAGCTGAAGAGCAGCAGGAATAATATCTCTTTAAAGAACTGCAAATTATTTTATTTTTATGCGTCAAGGCCAGACAATTTCCAAGTTTAAAATACACATGTACTTGGAATATTAGTATATACTTTCCTCTCAGCAAGCATTTAGCTTCCATTAATAAGTTCTATACATATGCATCAAAAGGACATAATAGCCTATTACTGGAGTTAAAGGAAAACCTATTTTCAGTTTCGAACCAGTGAACTTTAATTTGGTAAAAATGTGTATAAAAAGAACAGTCATTCAAAGCCAAGCTGGACATAGGAGAAAACATTATAGTGAAAGCCTTGCAAGCTCCAGTGCTCAGTGCAGACAGAAATCTACATCAGTTAATGCCTGGAAGCACCTGTTGATAAACTGCCTGAGAATATGCATGAATCTTTCCCACCCCTTCTGACAGAGCTGAAAAAAACTGCATGTGGGTCTGTATGCGCAAAGTCAGTGGATTGCCATCTGCTCAATTTATCTTCTACCCTTCCAATCCCCTCAATTCTCTTTAAACAGGTTGGAGACCTGCATTCAGGTATTATAACATGTGGATATCCCTTTTTGGAGCCCTGTTGTGCTGTGGCGTTATGTTTGTCATCAACTGGTGGGCAGCTCTCATCACTTATGTCATCGAACTCTTTCTATATATTTATGTAACATATAAGAAACCAGGTAAGGCCACAAGACTTATTTTGTGTATGTTTAGCAGCCTCACTGGACTTTATCAGAATTAATTCTGCTTACAGAAATAGATCTTCCTTTTTCTTCAGCACCATTCTTTAGAGGAAAGTCTGGACCACCATATTAAATCCCACTTTACATAATATAGAGTAAGACAATATCCTGGTGAACTTTTCACTGTTAAACACTCATTTCAAAAATGGCTCAGGGCTTTCTATAAACATCCCAGTGCATCAGTTTACTCCCACATCTTTAATAAGAATTAATCTGGGCTTTTGCTTTACTACCACTTGTAACTTTTCTTCATCCATCCACAAAAGCTTGCTTGAATTTTGCTGTGCTCTTAGCTGTCTTATCTGGGACTCTCATTTAAAAGAGAAACTTGCTGCCCATTATATGACAACAATACAAGATGCATTATTTGTGAACTGATCTTTTTCCAGTGCCTTGCTATAATTTCTCACTAAATTAAGAAAAATAGGAACATTTTACTGTTGAAAAAGATTACTTAGTAGCTCAGTTAATCACGGGAGCAGTGCTTAGGAATCTGTGCACTAATGTAGTACAGCATCAGTATGAGACCACTTAGTCTTTTTTTCATTTCCTAGACTAAATTAACTCACATTCAGATTTCATGCAAACCATCTGATTTACTTGTTCAATAGAATAAATAATTCAAGGAAAAAAGACGAGTTTCCCAACATAAGACATACTTTCATTGCTCATCTTGGGATAGCAGCACCTGGTCTGTGCCTAAGTTCCTAAGTTTTCCTTTTCTCTGTTTTCTCTATTTTTGCTTGCTCTCATACCTACTGAGATGGCATGTGGATCTCTTTCTGTAAAGATCATCAGCTGTAGGGAATGCACCTGTGAAAAGCAATGTGTCAGAAAGGCATCTGAAGATTGCTATCCTTCTCCTAGCTTATTGCAATATCCTTGCTGCAAAGTAGCAGCTTAAGGTCTGGTTAAATTCACTGAAGACATTGTACAAAAGCTATCAATTTCCAGCTCTCCAAGGATAATAACTTCTGTTCAGCACTGACCTACCAACAACTGAGTGGTTCAGAAAAGTCTAATATTCCTCAAAGGTTGTTTTTCACCTGTCTCCTTCCACCAAATGGCTGTACAATAGAGAAGAAAGGATAGGTATGCCAAAATTGGTTGGAGAGCAACTTTTGACCCATATAGTAGATCAGAAGTAATTGGAGCTGGTGATGATGCCTCCTAATGGATTAATTTGAACTTCATGAAGTTATATACAAATACAAATGCATTACTCGGGGCTGTCCATTTTATACATGGGAAAAGGGTACAAACTCTATCAAACAGAGAAGAAAACATTTATTGAGCAGAGGAAAAACACTGCTTATGCTTTACTTTGAAAGAATGAGATGATTTATTTGCATGTTTGCATAACCAAACCTATTCTCATGACGCACAAAGAATGATAGATGTGTATCAACAAAGCACAATAGAATATATCCTGCTTTGGCTCAGAGGTAAATGACTCCTGACCTTTGTAACAGAACAGAGAAAACCCCTGGCTTAACATGCATTATTTATCTTTATTATATGCAGAAGTAAACTGGGGCTCTTCCACACAGGCTCTTTGCTATATTAAGGCCTTAGACAGTGCACTGGCATTAGCTACAGTGGAAGATCATGTGAAAAACTTCAGGTAAGATTTCCAGTGAAAAATAGAATGGTTTATTCAGGCTAAGTACATCTCCCAATTAAATACAACCTTTTCCCTCCTAACAGACCCCAGTGCATAGCATTAACAGGAGCTCCTATGATCAGGCCTGCTCTGCTCGACATCACACACACTTTCACAAAGAACAATGGTCTGTGCATCTGTTGTGAAGTGTACACGGTAAGGTCAACTCATACAGATCTGAAAGTGCAGCACCAGTGGGTGCTGCAGATCCCCATTACACATTCCACTCTCACTTGGCACAAAATGTTCCCAATGGTGCTGATGGGCTTCTGTGCAGACCGTGAAAAAGATTCGTACTGAGAATGAATTTTGTCATAAGCCTTGACAAGAAAGCTATCGGCTGATACAGAGCCTGCATTGAGATGCATTTCAGAGTTCATAGCAGATGAACCAAAAAACCGATAAAGGTTTGAAAAAATAAAGCATTACAAGTGAATATATATATATTTTTAATTGATACAGTAAGGCTAAAAAATAAAATTAGGGAGGCAGAGTTCTGTCAGGAATATAGCAAAAGAGTCAAATTAACTAAGCTCTATTTCTAGCTTTGTCACTGATGTGCAGTGCTAGGATTTGGCATGTAATTCAGACCTCTGTGCAGTGGTTTCTCCAAAATTGTAACAAAGCTGATTTTTGAGGATAAACATGCTTTTCTTAGATCTTCGTAGAAGCAAAGTATATTTCTAGCTAAAATTCATAATTTCCTGTCTACTTATAAAGGATGATCACCTAGCCTCTCATTAGGACAGAACTAAAATAGATGGGCTCGTAGTAGAAGATGTATTTTAAATATTACAACAACCTTTTGAGGGGAAAAAAATAAAAGGCTCATGGCATCAAAACATGCTGCAGAATATAACTAATAGAACCAGTCCAGACAAGATAGTGTATTCTTCCACATGAGTATAAGAATAATTCATTTGATGCTGTCACTTTGAGGAAAGAGAGTATGGAAGAGCTACATGTGACTCTTTCCAAATTGAACAAATCTATAAAAAGTGAATGACTGTAATCCTTCTCTACCATAACTTGTAGCCTGACTCCTGCATCCACTAAGTACAGAATCAAACCCAATAAGATCCTGAAACTAAACAGCTTCATAAAGTTGAGTTTCAGCAACTTTCCTGATTTATTAGATGTTTCTCTAAAATTAGCACTTTCTACGTAGAACTAAGATTTCACTGTAGTCTATTAAAAAACCTATATTTATTTTCCTAGCGTAAGCATTTTTTACTATTATTATTTCTTCAGTAACATAAAGTAAATTTAGTTTGGTTGGTCATAATGTTGTGACACAGTGAACCTTCACAGACCACAGAACCATGATGGCAAGCAAATAATAAAATTTCTGAGAGTGGGAATGCCAAGCACTTAGAAGCAGTTTGCTGGCACAATACAACCTTGTGAGATATCTTACTGCCACAGAAGCTTGCAGGGCTCCAGAAAGAGCCAGGACTGGGAACCCAGACACCATGTTGAAAACTACAGTATATATCATAACAAACATAGCAAGACCATTTAGCCATAAAAGTAACGTCCAATATTTTGCCTTAAAGTGGACACACTGCTAGCAACACATAATGTTTTGAGATACTGTGCTAAAGGGAACATCTCCCATTCCCTCTTTGCAAAGGGCAGCAAGAAATTTTCAGAGAACATGGTAATGAATAGTTCAGAGATAGGTACAATAAAAATGGCATGTTGGTTTTTTGTTTTTTTTTACTCTCTCCGGTCCCACAGCAGACAATGTAACACCTTCAAAAACACTCTATGATGTATAATACATAGCATTCTTAATAATGTGTTACTGTATCACACAGGGACCACGCAAGCTGTGTGTTAAGGAGATGAACAGTGGCATGGCAAAAAAGCAGGCCTGGCTTACAAAGAACAAAAGAAAAGCCTTTTATGCAGCAGTGGCAGCTGACAGCTTCAGAGATGGAGTCAAAAGTCTCCTTCAAGTAAGCTTTTTGTTTACAGAATGCACACAAGATGATACATCAAAGCATCCTCCTATGGAAAGCATTTCTGTTTGCTTATTAAGAAGTCCCATGTTTATATGGAAAATGTAGTAGAGAGGGCATTCTGAGGGTACATATGTTTACAACACAGGTTATTTCATAATAAGATATAGTTCTGGGCTATGGAATTATGAGACTAGGCTGGCTAATTGTTTCCTAAATGAACAAAACAGGATTATTACAAAAAGAAAGAGAGAGAGAGAGACAGAGAGAGAGAGAGAGAGAGAGAGGTATCTACAGGACAGCATGAATCTCTGTGCAGCTGTCACATGATACACTTGAAATCAATTTGATTGCATGGCATTACACAGCAGATTAAGTATCTAAGAATGTTACTGTGTTCACTGAAAACCTCAGTGTAATAAGCATTCTTTTTTCTTTTTTTTTTTTTTTTAACAGCAAAGGCTATCTAAACAAGCATTCAGTATTTTTCTCCTATTCTAAGAATACAGCAGACCACTTCCAAAAGTTCACTTAAATTAACTTGAATTTTTAAATTTAAAATGATTTCAACAAAAGTAGCACAGAAGCCCCATTTTTGTACTTACCATCTCCCTCTCTCTCTCTCTCATATATCTGAAAATTTAAATATGTGGAGAATGTAGAGAAATTTCATTCTGAGAACAAATGTAGAGAAAATTCATTCTATCAGAACCTGACATGGATATTTCACCCTCAGTTTATGTATTGTCTCAGTAGGAGATCCCTGTAATGCTTCTAAGAACTGTCATAATCAGATCTTTTCCTTTCTGTTACTATTTAAACCACAAATTATTCCCTTCCAGCAGACAAAAGGATAACTTTATCATCATTATGATATGCTAAGGACACCTGTATTGGTTTGTCAAGCAGTGAATCATTTAAGGCAATGCAAATTCAACAGTACTACTCTAATTTTCAGTCATTCTGAAAGTAATGCCTTCTATTTGTTTCCAACCACAACTGATACAGAGCACAATAACACTATGAGAGCAAGTTCTCAGCTACAAGATACTATTTCTCAGTATATTCACCACCATTAGCTGATTCATGCAGATGAGCTGATTGAAATGCTCTTCATTTCACGGGGGGACAGTTGGGCACTGCCATGTAGAACATGGCTTGTGTTTCAAGGCACTGGCACCACAGCTGAAACATACCACCCACCACCTCACTGTGCTCACTTCCACTGTTTGATCTCCATAAATGTTCAGCAAGTGTCAACAAATCTCAATGGGTGCAATGTTTTCTGCAAGACTTCCATGTCAAGCACCCTTTTACCAGACTGCCCCTCTGCTGCCATCTGTTGCACAGCAACAACATGTAGTGAATGTCAGCAGGAAGGTTCAGCCTCTACTGTCATACCACCTGTGTCTGCCTCCTGTGGGCCAACATACTAAAATAGGAGGGATTAGGATTAGTTTTGGAGCGGCCCTCATAAAAACAATCTCCAAGACTCTACATTTCTACCTATTTTCCTTTTGCTTACAGTAAAAATTGGCAAGTGTAGTAACTTCATAAGCTGGTGTATCTGTGGGTGTCCTCCTCAAAGTTCCCCCATACACTGAGTATTTAGATTTCTGTAAGAGTTAGGTTACCTGAATACAGACCTGATAGCCCTTATTTTTTCAGGTTTTAGTATCCAGACTCCATTCTGGGGACAATCTAAAATCTTGGCAAACCATTTGTTCATGTTTATAAACTATACTTTTATCTATAAAGCATGTCTAGCTAGTTTGGACAGATAATCCTTTGGAAAGAATATGACAAACAGAATAGAAGCAGTTTCTAAGCTCAAGGCAAAAAGGATATATATTATTGAGAGGGTATGCCTTCTCTGCATATCTGAGGTATTTAAAAGGAAGACAGGCCGTCTATTGGGTATTCCAAATCTGATAAAAGCTTTATGCTATTACGTTAGAATGAGCATACAAAAAGCACTTGAACTCTCTCTTGATTCCAAGTTATTGAACCATTTTAATGAGCATGTCAGAAGAAATGCAAATGAATGCTAATTTAGCAAAACTACATTTCTGACATCTAAAAATCATTTATAGTTGGAATGATTTAGAGCTAATCTTTTTTACACGGGTATGAGCATGAAGGACATTCATGAAATGCAATCTAGGCACAAGCCTCTCCACTACATTACTTCAGTTATTTTTCACCATTACCTCTCATTTACAGTAAGAGCGTGTGTGTGTGTATGTTCTCATGAAGTGCTTTAACATTGATAGGCCTCAGGATTGGGTAGAATGAAACCAAATACTTTGGTGATTGGATTTAAGAAGGACTGGAGAAGTGCTGCTGTCACACAAGTTGAAAACTATGTGGGTGTTATACAGTAAGTACCAGATCAGCATCACCCCTATTTTCTCCCTCTATTCTGTATTAATACTGCATTTCCATACAGAATTTGACAGGTAGAAACAACGTAAGAATATACCTAGAGATCTGGGCTCACAAATGCTAGCTCTAAAACAGAAGTTTCTGTTCATTACAAAAAGCTCCACGGCTTCACGCACCTAGCGAGACCTGCTCAGCAAACATCTGGCACAATCAGAGATTATGTGGCTTGACAACGTTACATAAAGAAGCTGCACGGCTGTCAGCAGTGCTTTTGCAGAACTATATTTTCCCTTTTTTTTTTTGTAGGCTGGAGCTCAGTGAAAAACAACCCTAATGCACATACTTAGGGAATAAGAGAACATCATGGAATTCTTCCTTTAAGCCTAGGAGACAGACAAAGAGCCTTGCTTCAAATCTCTTGTGTGCCAAAGGCTCAGCAGCTCTGTGGGTTGGGATTTAGCCAGAAACAGTCATTTAGAAACAGTCTTCTCGGATTCTTGTTCAAAATTCACCTGTAAAACTGCAGCAAAACCCACCCCAGCTTTTTTATTTCCTTAGAGCAGGGAGAAAAAATTACCTACTGGCAGCCTAGCTCCTAAAAAGTGTTGTATGAAAGACCCATTTTAAGGAATAGCCTATCTTTTCCCATACCCAGTGGTAGTACTCTTACATTTTTTTTTTTCTTTAATGAAAAATAATGTTGATACTGAACAGTACTTAATCTTGGACAATACCTCCTGCAATTTTATCCAGAACAGCCCAGCACACGGCAGTAATAACTCCCACTGAGTACTAACACTGAGCAGATGCTCAAGGTAGCTTTCCATCAGCAACATACATGATACAAAAGGATATATTCTCTTCTTTTGCAGTGATGCCTTTGATTTTGAACTTGGCATGATTATTGTCAGAATTAGCCAAGGATTTGATATATCTCAGGTCCTCCAGGTTCAAGGTATGTGCTATCTCAACATCTAAATTATATTTCACATGCACAATTGCTACAGGCTCTGCACAAGGAAGACTGATGAATACATGTAGTGCCACTATCCAGCTTCTAGAGTAGTTTCTACACGTGACCTCTACATTTCCTCATTGCTTCTTCAGTTTCAATTCTGCTAAAAATCCTTGCTAAAGCCAACATCCTCTGGCAGTTGCAGAGAAGGCCAAGCCTCACAAACTTATAAGTTCTACACACCATATAACTCAACTTCCAAAGCACTTCTAGCACAGGCACAAGCTAAAGCAGTAAAATCACGCTGTGCCAGAGCAGCCTGTCACTGTGCAGCATGGCTGCTTCCTGCTTTTGACACATCTTCCTCACTGCCTACCTGAGACCTCTGGGCTGCTGAGAATTGGGAAGCTATGCTTCCAGTGACCCAGAAAGCCATAAAAATCTTGAAATCACAGGAAGCAATCAATTCCCCTTTCCACTTTTTTGTTCATTCCTCCTCAGATTAGCAGTATATATCCTTCAAGAGTTCCCTCAGGGAAAGAAAGAGCTTTCCCTCAAAAACCTTTTGCCATGGAGTTCAAGAAGAATGTCATATGGGTTGAAAACATGGAGAGAAAGCACACAGACAATCTAAACAAAGGGCTTTCTGGAATGACATACAGAGGTGGCCTTGGTTTTCCTCTTTAGGACACAAGAGTCCAACTGGCTCTTCATGGATGCTGGGGAGGGAACAGCTCCATTTAGGGACCCCATTCTATATCTATATCTATCATATCTATAGACAAGAGCAGAGATGCTCATAGGAAAGGAGAACGGCGACTCTCTGCTGCCGCCTGCTGCAAACTGCCACCAGCTTCTCCCCACAGCATCCCCGAGCTGCTGACAGATCGCGCTCCCGGCTGTTAAAAGAGCACCCGGAAAGGACATAAGAACCCTAGCTCAGCTAAATAAAACTGAGTCTAGCTCCTACCTAACCTTTCCTCCTTCTAGGATGGATTCTAGGGTAAGGCAGCCCTCAAAAGAAAATCACCTAAGAATTTAAACGATCCAGAAACACAAAAAAGAATATGCAAATATTTACCAAGCAGCCTCTCTGGCAGCCTGATGTGCATGGAGAGCTGCAGTACAAAACGAGAACTTAAGAAAATAGACCCAAAAGATCTATGCTTTCCTCAACCCCTCTAATACCTGCAGTAGAACTTTCTACCCTCTTTGCATGCTCTAAGTCAGAAACTGACTGATGAAAAAATACATTAGTTAGAATACCAGTGAAACTATAGCAAGTACAAAGCATTAAGACACTAGAAATGAGAAAGAGTTAGAAACAGTAGGGAAGAAAAGAAAATCCTCAAATATACAGAAGTGCTTTGAAGCAGATGCAGTCTATGAAATGGAAAAAAATGATTATTTTCTATTTGCTATGAAATTCTGTTCAAGAGAGAAACTGAAAATCTATTTCTGAATAACCATTAAGTTAGTGGTTATCATCAGCTCTAATAATTAGAAGCATATGGTTGTCATGGATTCTAAAGTAAAAGAAATCATATTCATTTATGTTGGCAACCGAGAGTGCCAGCAGTGGTTATGATGTCTAGCTGATGAGGTTTTTTCTTTGTTTTAAAACAAAAACAACTTAACATTTACCTCATTCTTAGCCCCCATACAACTCAAACGGACGACCTTCCCTCTAGAAAAAAGCCTTCTGAAGGTAAATGTATCATATCAATTAGCACCTCACCATAGTATATTCCATAATAACACATGGTACTCCTTTCTCAGCAGAAGTCTAATATTGCTAAGATGAAATTATCTTTTACATTACTGAATTTACAGAATTGTTCAGCTAAATCTTAACTCTTTGCAGCAAATGCTAGAAGAATAAACGATAAGAAATATTTCAGCATAGAAACCGATCACATATTCAGTACCCTCACATTTTTCCATGAATCTCAAGTCAAACTGATGCAGCCCTGTTCTTAGTCCAGTGGCCCAAGGGCTTAAAACAAATACATTAGCTTTCTCACTATAGGAAAACAGCTTTCCTAAAGTGTCTTCAAATTTTTAAGAAAAACAACCCTCAAATATAACTAAATACATAGCATACTTTAAGTGACCATGAAGTGCAGTAATACTGAATTTGGCCTGGAAAAGGAAATCTGGGAAGAGTTACCTAATCCTTTAGTACACACCACTGCTGCAAAAGGCATGGGCACTCTGTGTTAAGGATTCCAGAGATTAATTCAGCTTCCTCTTCCCTATTGGCACAAGAACAAAGTACTTTCTTCCAGCAGCTTTACATTTTGTACTAAGAGCTACAACAGCAATTATAACATCACTATTATTTCAGTAAGTGATTTTATTTAAAGTAGAAAATGATGCGTTCACAGTTCCCTTACGTTTTCCAATATACAGAGGAATTAGAGAAGCTGGAGCAGGAGAGATTGGTACTGGAAGCTACAATTAAAGAAAATGAATTTGAAGAAGAAAGAAGTGGCATCTGTGGATTCTTCAGAAAAGCCAGAAAACTCAATATCACAAAACATGAAACAAAAAATGGTAAGTTTCAAAAGGAGAACTTCTCCCTGACACTTTAATTCATCACACTCTCACCAATATGCAAAAACTAGACTTCAACTCCAAGGCCAAAGCTCTCGAGCCACACAGAAGCTCCTGGAATGAGGCCTCTCTTGTGCAACATGCCTTAGTGGCCATAATATAGTCCAGAATAGCACATCCTCCTGAGGTAGAAGACCATGTAGAACACAACTCCTGTCTGCTCCCATTCACTACATAGATTTAAAAACAAGCTCTCAGTTGAAAAGTCCATCTGCCAAAAATTGTACGCGATTATGAATGCTTGAGGAACACAGATCAAGTCTTATTTTTTACAGGTATTTTCTCTTTTTAAACAAAGCCACTTTATTCCTCCTCTGAAGAAAACAGGAACACATGCAAAATACTCAGATATGAAGCAATCCCATTTTATTCAACATTCACACACACACACACACAATCCATCTGGAAAACAGGTAAAAACAGCACTACTGCTCTATATTCTGAGCATAATTTCACAAAAATGTACAAATGAAAATGGTAAAAATACTGAAAGTACATATGTACAGCATGTGGTAAAATAACTAATTAACACAACATAAATGTACAGCATATGAAATCAAAATTACGTTTCAGATATAGTAAAATGAGACAGAAGTACAGACAAAATTAAAGGTCTCATTTCAGAATTGCTAGGCTGCAATGATAATGACCCACCTGAAGTTATGCTTGTATGCAGATAAGTATTTTCAGAATTTTCACCTGCAGAGTCTATTACATCTGGCTGTGCATGCAGCTCTTGGAGGTATCAAGAAGATCTACAGACTGAAAACACAGAATGTTGTTATTCTTTACTTTGCAGACTTCAGTTCATTTTGCAGGCTTCAGTAGAATATATTTTTATTTAAAAAAAACACCAAGAAATGTGCACCCTTTCTTCAAATACCTGCTTATTTAGTTCTGAAAGTCACAAATCATGTAATATGCTTCCTCCCCGAAGTTGTTGCATCTTCTAGCACAAATGTTACAATCGTAGAGGAAAGCCCACAGCTTCTTTAGAACTGTTGTGTACATGCTTTAGAAATATAGGAAACAGAACAAAGCAACCCGGCAAAGTAAAATCTCTACAGAAGCCTGTCTGCTCCATTTATGCTGTTCTGAGATTGTATTTTTTTAAGTCATTGGAAGAGAAGCAGTAATAAAGCCACAGGCTTCAAAAGATGGAATTAGAGATGCTATTAGTGCATGGATGGGACCATAACTTTTGACAACAGCCAAGCAAAGAGCAGGAAGCAAAGTTTATTTTCAGGAAATAACAACCCTCTCAAGCACACAGAAATTGCCATCCTTGCCTCCGTTTTCTGCCTTCCAGTCTTAGTCTAATGTGTGCTCTTGCTAGAACCAGTTAGTGGTATGTATTAACTGTTAGCTTTATGAAATTCTGTACTTTCCAACAGAAGATAAGCTTGTAAACAAACACCAAGCAACAGGCATTTATTCCTAAAATTTATCATATATTCCTTAATTGCTTTTGAAAGTGCCAGTGAAATCTAGGATAGTTAACAAGATACAGAGAACAAATAATCAGATAAACCTTTTGAAGACATTATGATGCAGTGACACAATATTACAGAAGGTTTGTTTCCTGTGTGTACTGGTACATTAGGTGTCCATACTACCTGTGCTGTCAACTTCTGTAGTTTTAGAGTATAGGAATTATAGCACAAGCAAGTCAGATCTTTACACAAATATTTCACATCTGTTTTAACAAGACAGACTAAAGAAGAAAGCAAACCCATGTGACAGCAAACAAGTACTTTTCTAGTTGCCCACCTTGATTCAGGCAACTGAATGCAACCACACATTTCAGAAAGATGAGTTCTTGTTCCTTATGGGAACAACAGCCAGTTCTACTTCCCTAAGTTTACAGAGGCACTCATAGATCTGAGGTATCAAGTAGATTATTTGATTTTAGAGTCTGATAGTGAACATCATATAAACATGCCAGGTTAGAGAAGCAATTGACTGAGTTTGGACAAACCCAAACATACAGCTTGTTCCTAAGTAAAAGGTGAAATAAGGCAAGGTTAAACAAGATTTCACAAATCTTTTTCTCCTTTATTTTTCTACGAAGGAACTCAAAAAACTATGTGAAAGTGACAAAATAAGTCCAGATGTTTTTTCTCCAATGGCTCCCTACAGCTATTCAGCTTCTCAGAAACCTGCCTTATCTTCTCGTTCTCATTTCAGAAAGCACCATTAATACAGTACAGTCAATGCATGTGGGAGAATTCAATCAGAAGCTTCTAGAAGCCAGCACTCAGTTTAAAAAGAAACAAGGAAAAGGCACAATTGACATTTGGTGGCTATTTGATGATGGAGGTAAGGAATTAATGTAAGAACCACAGGAAGAGAGATTTCTATGTTGCCATGCAAAAACATTTGGGAATTTGCACAAAACTGTTTTACAGTTATGTAGTTAAGTTTATCTTGAAATACTATAAACAGACAAAAAGCATCTCCAACGTTGGCAGGGTTAAGGATAGCATTTTTACCATACAATGCACTGATTCTGTCTTCCTGCAATTTTCTATCTTTGTCTAGGTCTAACAATCCTAATTCCTTACATTCTAACTATCAGGAAGAAGTGGAAAAATTGCAAATTAAGGATCTTCACTGGAGGAAAAGTCAATAGGATCGAAGAAGAAAAACTAGTGTAAATATCCCTACTTTGCCTCACTGTTTAAAGAGTTTGAACTGATGAACACATATACAGCAGAAACTGGAATTACTCAGCACAACAGGTTTGCTGTAGCATGGGCAGTTCTAAAAGAAAAACAAAGTACCTCACAGAAAGGTGCTGAGTTTATGGCATGAGTCTTAAGGCTCATTGTAAATGGTGATTACCAAAGAAAACTCACATCCAGATATTTTCCCATTAACAGCTCATATTCCTTTCTCTGAAAAGAGCACTCTGCACACTGTAATGAGATTATCACTTGTTTTATGGGATTTACATGAGATTATCTAGTTAACAGTAAGTGAAATTGCACACAATGCTTCTCATATGCAACTATCATAGCCCACATGAATATAATTAACCATAGTAAAAATGTAAGGAAGGTAAAGATCAAGTTAATCAATTAAAGACCAAGTCAGTTAACTTTTTTAAGAAGTCTAGATTTCATAATCATTTGCCTTCAAGCAAATGAAAGGTACTCATACAAGCTTATTATCATCACTGTATGTAGGACCTTTTCTTCTGAAGCACTTTACACACTACAGGCACAGCCATTTCACTACCAGGTGAAGTAGGCAATTTAGGATGAAAATCTGGGATGGGTGCTACTTCTTAAAGAAATATTAGCACTATGTAGTTAGTTATCTCCATTTAAAACTCCAGTGGAAAGCAGGCAAGACAGATGCAAGAACAGGAGTATGAATTCAGCCAGTATCACTAGGATTGCAGCACCGTGCCCCATCAAGACAGCTGCCACAGGTTTTGTTTCCACATAAAGGAAACCTTTACGGAGGAGAGTTCCTCCTCACTGCTGTGGTACTGCCAGTTCCAAGGACTACCCTTAAAGTTAACGTCCTTAAGCAGAACAGATATGTACATGTTTGTAAAAAAGAAATAAATTCAGGAGTTCCCAACCATATTTATACCAAAGGCAAAACTGACAACAGATTCTCTACACTCAGCATGAGCACACAAAGCTGTAAACTATTCCTACTGTCAATTGGTGCAGAAGAGCACTGTATTTTCTCTTATGAAAACATGGAAAGACAACATTCGAGTAGATCAATATAAACTTGTGCATAAAAATATTTTAGGTATTTCATATCAACATTTTGGACCACATTTTCACTAGAACATACACTACCAACTACACTAAGAATTGTTCTTAACCCATGCATTTTTCCAAAATGTAAACACTCTTCAGTTTTTGTTATTTTCATAAATCATCATTTAAATAAATTATACCAAAGCGATCACATCAATCCAGTTCTGTAATTGGAAACTGAAACACTAACTAGGGCATTTAAAGTACTCTGTCATATAGTTAAAGGTAATGAGACAAGTGCGTTTGATATCTTAACTCATTTACGCGTTCTCTTTGATGCAAGGCACTCAGAAATACAATGATAAAATATTATCTCTTTTGTTTTCAGGATGGCTTCGCTTCTAAGCAAATTTAGAATAAAATTTGCTGACATTAATATCATTTGTGACATCAATATGAAACCCAACAAAGAGAGGTAAGAAAAATTACCAAAATGCATTATTTAGCAGCAGGCATTTATCAGGAGCTTGTTTCTTGTATGCTGAGCTTTAAAAAAGAAAAAAAAAAAGAAGATGATGAAATAACAGTCACTTTATTGCAATAATTTCCCAAGTACCCAGAGCACGAAAAAAGAGAATAACATTTTAACAATCACAATCCAAAGTGTCAAAACTATAGACAGCCTTTTTCTTCATGTTGCAATGGTAAGACATAATTTTAATGAAGACTAACCAGACAATATATTTAAGAGCCACTACATTTAACAGGGCAGTTTATACTGGCTTTTCATATCCATTAGTTTGCAATACACTTCATCATATTAGCCAGTCAGTCACAGTTCTCTTCTCTGCTAACTCACTTTTCTGCATTTTACCATGCATTCAAGAAACTTAACAACTTTCTGGTCAAAAACAAGCATACTTTTTCCTTTCCCCTGAGAATAATATTATAACACACCCCCATAACTCAAATACATTTTTAAAGTTTTTTATTTATCTATGGAATTAATGTTCTCAGGTGAGTTAGGAAGTTGGTAAGATAGTGCTCAGGAAACTCCACCTCCAACTGTATTAGCTACGCTTATTTTCAGATCCTGCAGCTACTAAACATTTTGCTTTCCATAGCAAATTATAAAAAATAATAGTAATAATCTGACCTTCACAGATGTCTCCTGGTTTTTCTGGCACTTCATATAGCAATGCCTTCCATACACACATTATAGGAAGCTCTTACTTCAGAATCTGTTGTAAAAAAGCCCAGTAAAAAGGATAAATGCACCTTCTCTCTTCTGCTCAAGGGTAATCTGCTCGCTCATATAACAATTGGATTTCTCCTTCCATGCGTTGGAGATTATCCAAGATATTCCAGACTCCCTGCTTTCTAAAGCATCTCTCTATCACTATAGCCTATTTCTTCTACTTTTTGTATACAAAAGTATACAGTGCTTTGCTCTAGGAACAACTAAATCCTAATTAATAATATTGCTCTTGGTCCTAAAGAATGTTCTCCTCTTACTATCCTCCCTTCCAACCCACCCATAGTCCATAGATACTTCACAGTCAAAGGGCTCCTCTTCTCCCCCCAGAGCCTTCCACTGAGCTGAGGTGCAACCTAAGGTTAAGTCTCTTAATTCTTTTAGGCTCTGGTTCTCCCCACAGATAGCATAGAATATAAAACACACATTAACAGAAATAGAAACACATTTGCATTAACAAAACATAAACTTCCTGGAGTCTCTGTGGGATTCTAGAAATTTCCAACCAACAGACAAGCAGGGATGTACGGCAGGATGATAAACTTCTCCAGAGAATCAATAGCTTCAAGAACAAATTAAGAGAGAAACTATGGAAAAGGTGGGAAATGAATACAGATCTCATCTCCATATAACAAAAACTAAAAACAAAAAACTAAAAACAAACAACAACAACAAACACCCAAAACTGCAGCATTTCCCTCAACCCCTTGCTACAGGAGATTTATATCGTCTGTTTTTCTATTTCATTACATCTGTGACAGTAAAACTGTATAATCAGGAAAATGCAGCAAATTCTCTGCAACTGTAACAGGCTAAACACAGTGTTTCATTATCCTCAAATAACCTTTTAGTCATCCTCAAATTACCTTAACATATTGAAGAAGTACAGATAAAACCTGGGGCATAATGCAGCAAAGAACAGTTAAAGTTTTTGCATGTTTTTAAGCTACATTTATAGTCAGCAGGGCCTGCCATACACAGCGTCTACAAAATAAGCTAGCGAGTGCATATCCTGAAGCAAGGCCTCCTTTGTAACTCCTGTTTCAGTTGGAAATTCTTTGAAGAGATGATTGAACCCTATCGTCTCCGTGAAAGCTGCAAAGATATAACAACTGCTGAGAAATTAAAGCGAGAGACTCCATGGAAAATTACCGACGCAGAGCTGGAAGCATTCAAAGAAAAGGTAAAGCCTTGCCTACCTTTTTACTCTCGTACCTATTCTTATGCTTCAGACCAGATGTTTCGAGTTATTAGTAAGAAAATGTGAAATACGAGATATGAAATTAGAATCATGACATGAAATAACCTGTATTTGCTATTTGCAAATTGGATTTATGTTATGAACACTGGAGGCGTGTTATGACTGCATTAATCAGCACTTTGTAACACCTCAGCATGTTTACAAAGTATCTTCAAGGCCAGTGGGAAGCTCGGCCCATATTCAAAGCCAGCCACATGAAAGCCTCTTCTAAACCAGAAGCCAGAGTACTGTGCTAAGCCTGAGCTAATAAGATCTGCTGAGAGGTTTATTGGACAGTTCCACTGTTTAGAGTTTGAACGTCTTAAAAAGAGAACAGTTCAAAACATTAACCAGTTTGGGAAATTAGAGTTGAACCCAGACCCTGCAACCAGCTCTAGGAATTTGCCCAAAAGGCAAGATTTAACATGGATTCTTACTTCAATGGCAGAGCTAAGTTTAAACCTGCCAACAATGCAGGAACTCTCCCACAGTCTGGAAATATTTTAAGGCTGATGCTGGCTAATCCACTGGGTAAACTGGAGACTGGGATGCACTTTAATATTGCTGGAATGCACCCTTTTAGTAGTGATCTGCCAGGCTTCATCAGGCCAGTGCTGACAGGTTATGGAGAAGCGTTCATTCTTAAGAGACAAGTTCTGCTGCAACTCTCAGAGAATGAATCTAGGAATCTCATTTATGGCTCCTGCTGGATTAACCTGAGCGCACTTGGTGTTTAGTTATCTCTGCTTCATGGTGCTGGCAACTTCCTCAAGTGGAGCAAGAACTGTGAGTCAGAGCTCAGAGCTGTCAAGGGTCACGGTCTGACATATTAACATAAGCTGAAATCAATGCCGATTTAAGATTACACACCGTAGTACTGACGGCAGCAGCTAGGAAGCAGACCGGCTGCTCACAGTATCGCTCTTTTCACAGATTTGATAGCCAGCATAAAGTAACGGCAGTCAGCTGCCTGCAGAAAACTTTTAAAAACACTCAGCATAAATCAAAGGCTGGGAGTCTTTATAACACCTCCATAATAAAAGACTCCCAGATGTAAGCTCTTGTATGCAGAAACAGTGACAATGCAACAGGAGGAAAAATAAGTATCAGTACACACACATTTATATAATGGTTAAGCTTGGTCCTGCCTGGTCACTGACTAAAGCACCAAGAGAAAAACCTCCATGTTTAAAGCAGTCAGCAGTATGATTAAGGCTAAATCTCCATAAAATAAAATCACAAGGACCTCAAGAGATCATGGAGTCCAACCCCCTGCTAATGCAAGTTCCCTGCAGCATGTCACACAGCTTGGTGTTCAGATGGGTCCTGAACATCTCCATGGAGATTCCACCACTTCTCTGTGCAGCCTGTTCCAGTGCTCTGTCACCCCTTACTGCAACGAAGTTCTTCTACATGTTTGTATGGAACTTTCTGCGTTTCAGTTTTTGGCCATATGCACCACTAGGAGCCCAGCCTCATCCATTTGTAGCCCAGCACTGGCAGATATAGGAATTAATATATTATCCACCATCAAATAATAGTACAAGAGTCTCTGAATAGTTCCCAAACAGCTGTATCACATAGCCAAACAAATACTTCAAAACTACATCTGATTCTGACATGGTACTGTGCCAGTACAAAACCAATCCCCATTCCTAGGAAGCCTTAAACAGATGGGAATGACTCTGGCCCCCGGGTAACAAGGCAAATCAAGAAGAACATCCTAGGACAGGCTCATATTTTGCCATCTCTGTCGCACTGGGTCACAGAGCAGACCTGGCTTCCAGAGCTGCCAGTACAGTAACAGAAAATCTCATGGACAACAGGAAGGACTGCAGATCACTGGCTGAATCTTTTTCTTTAACCCGTGTCTTGATTTAAACAGAGTTATCGCCAAGTTCGTTTGAATGAACTCTTACAAGAGCACTCGAGGGCAGCTAACCTCATTGTCCTGTGAGTAGCAAAGTTTTATCTTTAACTTGGAGAATAAGCTGACCTGAGTAGGGATTCTGGAGTAGATCAACAGAAATACTTGTATTAACTCACTGAGGGGAAAGTTACTTTTTAAGCATATTTTGAGAGCTTAAATCCAGGCTGACAGTTCTCTGGGACTACTCTAAATACGAATCTTTCCTCACACTTCTTCATAGCTTAAAGTAAATCTTTGAAAATGTATCAAAAATGTCGTCTTCACATCCTACTCTACATGTCGAGCATTATACCTGCTTACCCACCTGCAGGAAGTACTCATCATGCTTCCTTTCCCCTCTTCTCCCTCAAGCTATTAAGAACAAAAAGTGTGAGAAAATATTATTTTGGTTTGCACATAATCAATAGAGTTGTTAGCCAAGACTGAATTCAAGTTATGTGAAACTGAATTAGCTGATGAATTGCATAAAGGAAAATCTCACCAATAAAGATACAAAAACTCATTTTCAAACCAGTTTTCAAAAAGTTTAAACAGTTTCTTAAACGTAGTCCATAAATCAGTATTCCCAATGCAGAGATAAACATCTTTAGCCCACTTAACTGGGTCTCAAAATAGGAGCGATCGTGTCATATTTACCATAAATGGAATCACACATCCAACCTGCCATCTTACAGTATCTACAAATCAGGACTGCAAAAAAGTGCATGCACTGTACCTTTTTTTATTATTATTATTTCACCGTGTGTGCAGCTTGATGGTGCTCAGAATGCTTCTTTAGCTATTCGGGGGAAAAGATATTCTCAAGCAGTTCATTTTCACCACAAATAGCCACGTTAAGCCAAGAGTTTGCAAGACTAAGACCTGGTGTTAGCTTTGTGCTTTCTAAGATGAAAATAATCATACAGACTAATTATGAACATTCTGAGTCTCACATGAATAGCCAACACTTTCTGCTTAATATTTAATGAGAATGCATGTCTCCCTTTTTCATAATAATGTTAATGCTGATTTTCTGTCTATCTGAACAGGAGTCTGCCAGTGGCAAGAAAAGGAGTAGTGTCCGATTACCTGTATATGGCTTGGCTAGAAATTCTCTCAAAGAACCTTCCTCCAATCTTAATGGTCAGGGGCAACCACAAGAATGTACTGACTTTCTATTCTTAAATCTGCAAATAAATACTGCTTCCAAATGGCACGGTCATAGTTACTAGCAAACACAAAGCAGAATGAATGAAAATCAAATGCACCAACTTGGAGGAGAGAAAAAAACTATGGTATCCATTAGGTCAGAGCCATAAAGTGACATAAAGCAAGCAGAATACCCACGACGCTGTTTAATTATAATATTGCCAAATTAAAACCTATGCCTAGAGCAGATGCCTTTACCTAAATTGTAATGCTAATTTAATGCAATGTTAATTCAAATGCTTCTAATTAACTTGCAAACAAAAAAAGTTGCATAGATAACGAGATGGATTCTATATGACAAGAGCTGATAATGAATTTTCAAGCTCTGACATGGACTGGAATGTATGATTGCAGTAACTAAAGGTGGTATGTAAATTTCAAAAGGAAATTAGGGAGCTACTAAATATTCAGACAATTTTTGCTATTAATGTTACGAGTTAAGAAAATCTGAGATTATACTTCGGGATAATATATACAGTGATTCATGCAAGTGATTAGAGAACAAAATAAATTTGATTAGCTGAGTTGAATTGAGTTATTCTTTATTTATATGAAGTTTTATATAGTTTCATATTTCCTAGACTTTCTAAATAATACTCATTATACATCAACTTGAAGTAAAATAAGTCCATTAAGCTGTGCATTTTTCTATTTTCTATTCTGCACCATTATAGCACTTCATCATTTCAGCTGTCAATAAAAGTAGATTCTCCTTTTAATGGGGAAAGCTATATCCAATGGGTAAGCATTATTTGAATTACAGACCATGAAGGAGTACAGCTCCTCTGGAGAGATTAACAGAAATCTAAGCCCCAGGAAAGCCAGCAGACCCTGATTTTCTCTAAATGCTCACCACAAAGCAGGCCTCAGACCCCACCTCTGCTTTTGAATTATGAGAACATAACTTGCGGAGGACCTAGAGCTTCATCTCCAAAAACACCAAACGCTTGATATTCATATTTTTCAAGTTTAGCAGCAGCAATTCAGCAGAACATGGTAATACAGTCCAATAATCCATGTTTTATTTTCTCCAGCTATTGAAGGCACAGTATGAAATACTGATATTTTCTCCCAATGCTCTTCCTTTGCCCCTTCTTACACATTTACAACCAGGGTGAAGGATCACTTTGCAGTTTGACTGCAGGACACAGATATATGAGTTTCCTAGATACAATAAGGCTTCTTCACAGCTCTGAGCAAACCAAACCTCAAATTCTGCACTTGCAAAACATGGAAATTATTTCCATCCTTCACACTGACATTAGCAATACTAAAGGAGCTTGCTACATGCTGTCAGGTCCTTCTGCATTTGTAGAACTGCAATGGCCACCACCCTGTCGGTCTCTCACTGCAGACAATAAGCAGATATAATCTAGAAACAAGTTTTTAGTGAGGCTCTAATTAGACCTTCTGCAAGAGCCTCTTACCACAAGACAAGGAAGGTAGATGAGCAAGGATGGCTTCCTAAATATTCTCCACTACTGCAAATTCTCAATCAATGGGGAACATCGCCCCAAGCTGATGGCAGGGACCTAAGAAGATCTAAAAAGAGAAAAATCACAATACACATTAGCAATGGCACTTTCAGTACTGTATGCACCTTCTCTACAAACATCGCTGTGAGCATTGCAAAAATGAATCCCAAGAGGTTCATTTCTAAATGAGCAGCCATCAAAAACTAAGTACTGCCAGACACATCAATGTAAAACTCTTTGCTCAGACTACAGAGATAAATTAAAGACGTATCCACACCGCAGCGCTGTGGAATTTACAACCAGCAACGCAAACACACAACAGTGCTTTACCATCTTAAAGTGAAGCATTATTTCCACAAATTGACAAGTCATTTCAACACAGCAGTTTCCAAGGAGCTTCCACTACATTGTCCTCACAGTATTTTTTAACACTTTTGCACAATTATTGTGCTGAAAATGCAAATTATGAACTCTCGAATTGCAACTTATCAGTCCAGCTCCCTTCCCACTCTGAAACAGATACTTCCATTTTTTTAGCATACATTATGCATAAAAAAACTGCTGAATTTTAATTACTATGTTAGTAACTGAATTTTAATTACACATTTGACATCTCTAGGAAAAAAAAAGTGGCTCTAAAACTGTCTAGCACATTTTGAGCATACACCACACTACCAACTCAACACATTTTTATAACCTAGTGTTGATTTGATCAGATACAACAAAAGCAAGCATTGATAAGGTGACCAAAGATATGCAAGATGGAAAACACCCTTCTATGAAGCAAGAGCAAAAATATTCTGAGATTTCTTCAAATGCACATCCTACACTTCAGACAGCTAAGCTACAGCCTAAAGGGCTCAAACATATGGCTCAGCCACTCGTGGAGGTTTATGAATGGGCAAATTTACTGTGCTGCTCCTGTCCAAAAGGCAGATTCGTTACCCGGTGTGCAGTAAGCCAGCCTCACACACACAGCTGAGATACTGACTCACTGAGAACTGTGCAAGTTTGGGTGCCATGTAATCTTTCACAAAGCTAGCACATTCCAGGGTATTTGCAGCACTTCTTTATACCTGTTCTTATCACTTCACCACCACCATGATACAGGCTCCAGCCTTCAGTGGATCAGTTAAAGATAGGGCTCATCTCCCTATCCTCAGGCTAACTAGCCATGCTAATTAACTACACGCGTTCTGAAGATGTTCCTATCATCAAATACAAGTTTAGTCACCTCACTGTGATTAAGAGTTCCTCTTCTTAATCGCTTCAGCAGTTTCAAGTAGAGAACAGTACGTATTTTCTATATCTAAGGATTCATATACAAAGATTCACACAAAGTTTAGTTCTTACTGACAATTCCTTCCTTTGAGAATTACCTAACAATATAGGTTATATCAATCTCATATTCTCCAAAGTTTTGTTAATTAACATCAAGCAACACTTAAGATACACACTTCAATACAACATATAAACAGACAAAAGCTAACACTACCAGAAAGGCAGCTGCTGTGACTTTCATAATCCAGAAACTTAAATCAGGGAACCAGGAAGCCAACCATTTGAATACCTGTCAAACCTCTAAGCAGTACTGTCTTTTTGAACCTCGTGCAATACTTTTGCCTGCTTCTAAACCTCATCCAAATCTGTAGAAGTTTTACCACTTTGGTCTACATATAAGCAACAACAACTTGTATTAATTACTGTACAACTCCCTCCTTTTGGGGCAAACAACATACCTAGAGTCATTCTATTTCAGAGGGCTTCCGTTCCTGCTTGAGATATTTCTTTCTGTAGTGCATACACAGCACCCATTGTTGTATTTTGAATTACTTCTACGGTGGCTGACATATTCGTGATTCCCTTTTCCAATTCACTCACCCCTAACAAAGGAATAAATCATAGAGCAAAGAAGTGGAACGCACTGGACCTCCCAATTAAAAGATTCCCTCTCCTTTGTATCATCAACTGTACAATTTGTCCCAACACACAAGTTTCTCCAAGATATATTAGCTAATGAAATTCCCTGCTCAGCACGTTTGAGAACATGAGCACAATCCCAGCAATTGGTCTTATTAGCAATCTGAATTGCCTTTTGGATTATTTTACAAAACAGATCCCAATCCCTTGGGTTTCCTGGTTCCATACATTCCCCTTAGTTTTCTGCATCACCCAAAAGTAACAGAGGAGCATTACTCCATTAGTTCTTTCATTTATTTCTTTAAATGAAACCGTATAACTAGAGAATTAAGTAAAATATAAAATGAGTAAAATCAGTTACAAAAGCAAAACTGATATTGCCTAAGTAAAGTTCACTCCTAAAAAGGTATTCAAACTGCTCCAAGGGCAGCTTATGTACTTCTCCTGATTTTTTTTTTTTTTTTGAGGAATTGATTCCTCAGCTCCCCACTTTTCCTGTGGATCTGCTATCTCCTGCTGTAATGTACCCAACAGTTAATCCCTTTTACTTTCACCACAGTGCTTGCTGCTAGGAGTACCAGACAAGGTCCCTTCTCAGAAAAAGGTTCATCTTTCTGAGATCAGTTATCACACTTCCAAGTTACCTTTTTTATTTATTTATTTATTTTTTTTTCATCGAAGCCTACATACCCTACTCTTAGGCATCCATGTGTCTGACCAAATACAAAATGCTGGCTAATTACCAAACAAAATCAACAAAATGAAAGCCTCTTATTCTGCCCTGACACTGTAAGGTCAATATCTCAATTTAAGTGTCACTTTTCACCCCAGCAAGTGAGAGGATATGATGGAGTCCCCTAACAAAAGCCCAGTGTGCTCTGAAATCCCATCAGTCCCCCACCTCGTGCTGCTGCAAGTCAGTACAGGCAAAGCCTCTCAGCTGTTGCACCTGGATCTTTAGAAAACTGTTGTCCAAAAAGTCCCAGTGTGCAGTAAGCCAACCTCACACACAGCTGAGATACTGACTTACTGAGAAGCTGTGCAAGTTTGGGTGCTATGTGATTTTCCACAAAGCTAGCACACCCCAGGATTTTTGCAGCACTTCTTTATACCTGTTCCTATCACTTGACCAGTACCCTGATACAGGTTCTGGCCTTCCATGGGTCCATTACCTGAGTTAACTAGCCATACTAATTAACCACACGCGTTCTGAAGATGTTCCTATCTTCAAATGCAAGTTTAGTCATCTCATCATTGTTTAGTCATCTCATCTCTCCTCTGCTTAATCACCCTACCAGTTTCAAGGAGTGCCATCCTGACTTAGATATAAGTACATATTTGCTATATATCTAAGGAAACACAAACAAAGATTTGTATGATGATTAGTTCTTACTGACAACACTATTCTCACTGTATCTTTCTGGCAAGACAAAATATGGCAGTTAACCTTCATTCTCAGAAAGCATGGACATACCTCATCCCTTCTCATTTTTGTACAATTCTGCATGGTACTTCAAATTCATCTTTAAGGCAAAAGCAGTTTTGGCAATTGGTAGCCTTCAAGTGATAGACATGGCAACAGGTAGCGTGATTAATTCTGAAATTCCAGATATGGTGCACACAGCTACACAGTTTAGCTAAATTGGGTGGGGTGGTGGGGCCACTTGGCAGAGTGTAGCGCATGGCAGCCATGCAGGCAGCAGTGCTGCGAGAACACCGCACGCTACCTCAGCTGCAGGGATACACAGAGTACAGAGCTGTGCCAGTGTAACCACAACCAAATGCAACAGATTTTAGCTTGCATTCTCCATAAATAATAAAAGCAACAATTCACACCATTACGCCATTGCTGGCATTTCATCAGAGGAATTTTAGTTTCAAACAAAGCACTAAGGTTGTTCTGGAACGGCACTGACAAAGTTCTACAGCCCTCTGCACAGTACAGCAAAACACAAGATCAAAAACAAACTTAATTGCAAATAAACTCCCCCATGGCAGCCTTTTAAATTACACATCTTAATCACTGAGAGAGAGGCAGCTATTTTAAGTGAGACAGGAGTGAATGTAAGGAAATCTCTATTTTAAAGGCATCTTTTTCTCCTAATAAAAATGCTCGTTCTAACACCAAAACTTCA